GGCATGTGTTGCGTGGCGCAACACTTTGATCGTTAGCACGAGGTCTGGCGCACAGAAGACGAAGGACGCGAACGCGCACGCACCTCGCGGGAGAAGTTGAGACCGATGCGACGGCGGAGCTCGTGGCCCAGAATCCACTTCATGGCTTCCTTGATGTCAACGATGGTAGACTTGTCTTCAAACTCTTCCGTAAATCTTCGAAGTGATTGTAGCATGTCAGGCGATTGATGATCGTGCGTGCGTGTGTGCGTGTGCGTGTGCGTGTGCGTACGTATAGAAACGTACTTGTGCGTGGCGAGGAGGTGGTAGTGGAGGGCGTATTGGCGGGTGACGGTGGAGGCCGGCATGGTGATGGTGAGCGAGTAGTCCGAGAACTCGTACTTGCCGGTGCCTCCCGTCAGAGCCGCCAGCAGCGGTCCCATGAACTTGTCCGACTGCACGTTCTGCAACGTGCCCAGGCAAGCCACGCACGCAGCCGCCTCTGCCCAGCGAGACACGTCGATGCATAGTGAGACATGGAAAGACGTGTCTTGTCGATGCAGGATGGCGAGGAGGAGGAGGCAAGTGCATACCGGTGGCTTGTGAGCGGGCGCGCCAGTCGCTGCCATCGGACCTGCGCTCGGTCTCGGGGAGAGTTGCCCACAGCGACTCCATGATGCAGCGGAGCACCTGGACCCATGCATGACATTTTTTTTTTACACAAAATCGTTAAAATCGAGTAGAAAGCAATTGGAACGAGAAGTAGAAGTGAGAGAGGAGCCAAGGGTGCTGGGTACGGGAAGGGGCTCGCGATAGAGGGAGAAGACGCGTTGCCCGAGGAAACGGAGGGCACAGAGCTCGCAGCAGCCACATCGAAGGAGGGTGAACAGGCCGGGAATTCGCGCTTTCATGTCGCTATCGTGGATCACCTCACCCACGTAGCGCCCGGCAGCTGCAGATTCGGCTTCAGTCGCGGTAAAGGGTGAAACCGTCGCCGCCTCTGTCTTGGCCTCCGTTTGATCTGTTTCCATCTTGGCCTGATTGGCAACAGATTCCCCTCCCTTTGCCTCCTCCTTGTGGATGTCCATATCCGCCGAATCAGATGCGGCAACCCCGCCAGACACTCCTTCTTGCTGCTCGCCCTCCATTCCAGATGAAGATTTTCACACACCATTCTTTTCTTTTGAAGAAAAATATTTCTTTCTAATTTCCTGAACACACCGGCAAGTGTGGTTGCAATGCAAAAAGGTGGCCCTCCTCTGCTTGTCGCGAGGAAAGGGGACTAGTAGACCGACGTGCGCGTTCGTGTGTACTGGAGGAGGGCCGTGCTCTCGGAGGAGACCACCTCTGTCGGGCCCACGTGCGGGAAGGCGAGGTTGTTGTCCTCGTCCTGCAGGTCGTTGGTGGAATCCGTGTCGCCGCCCGGCTCCTCGTCGCTGTTGGCGTAGAGGTCCTCGATGAACTGGTTGTCGCGCACGGCCTTCTCCTTGCTTGTTGTCACTATGTACACTTGTAACGCCGACGGCACCAGCTGTGTGTCGTGTGTGTGTGTGTGTCGTGTGTGTGCGGGTTACATTAGCACCACTGCGCACACACTCGCAGGTAAGTCGATCGTACCTCGGGCACGTAATAGGCCATAAAAATAAATAAAGTGGGGTGCAAGTAGCTGCCAGTCACCGGCCTGGCCAGCAGGAAAGAACGACGTCAGTGGTGCGCAAGCGAGGGGAAAAGTCGGTCGAAGAGTACCGGTAGAGGAACATGACGACTCGACAACAGAAGCAGGCGGTGAAGATCATGGTCGTCCCGAGCATCTAAGAAGAACGTCAGCGGTATTATAAAGAAGAAGAAGAAGAAGAAGACAGGGAGCGTGTCGAGAGTTTGAATCGTTTGTACCTTCCACACCTCCTTCATGTCGCCCCAGAGCTGAGTGGCCTGGGCTCGACGCTCGACCAGAATGCGGAGGCCGTAGACGAGGAAGAGCACGGCGTAGATCAAAAAGAGACAGGCGTCGGCGATGATGTTGGCGTCGTAGATCTGTGTGTGCCACGCCATGCCACGCCATGACGCAACGCAATGCAACGCACAGAAGCCGTGTGTCGTGTCAGATAATTGGCGACGTGAGAAGCCTTGGTCAAGAGAGACGCGTACGGGGTCACCGTCTCGCTCTTCGCCCGACGCCAGGAAGAGAATCAAGATTGCCATCTGAAAGATGTAGATCGCGACCACCGTGACCACGAACACCCATCTGCAGACATGCCACATGAGAGTTGCGTGTGAGTGTCGTGGTGTGCGGCGAGCACCAAGCCGAGGCAACGAGAAAATGCCAAAGCGGACGAAGAAGGAGGAACTACCGCAGGCGCGGAAGGAAGGCGCCGACGCCGTCGACGTCGATGTAGTTGCGATGGTAGGTCTCCATCCAGTAGAAGAGCACCAGCAGGAAAGAAGTGAAGTAGAGGCAGAAGGCGATGCGGTTCAATCTGCGACACGTGTAGCGTGAGTTTTTGTGAGCTATGCAAGAGTAGAGGCGGTGGGTACATGAAGGTTACGGGTGACTCATCGTCGGTCTGGTAGAAGGTGCGCAGAGCAAGCCATACCCACCGCACTGGCCACAACAGAACAAGAAGACACCGTAGGTTCAGGAGGGAATCGTTTGGAAAAGTTGGCTGCACTTTCGAGGTGCGCATTATTAATATTGATTTGATTTATCTCAATCGTAAATAAAACCAATTTCATCAGGTACTATAATCAAATCAACATGCTCGCCTCTTCTTTTATTAAAAAAATTAAATTTATAATAAATAATCGGGGGGGGGGCAAAGGGTCGATTGGGAAGGTGCGCGGTACCACAGAGAAAGGAGAAGAGGAAGCAGTGGAAGACAGTTTGGACGGAGACGCGAAAGCAGGAACCTGTGCGAAAGCCCGTCCATACGTAGGCCGCGATAGTGATCACGAGCAGCGTCGAGTACATGCTCAGCCCCACCACTCCATCTATCAGGTCCGTGGTGGCCATTCCTCCGCCATGGACCACTGGGGTACTCTTCGATCGCGCTCTGTGCGTGTCCTCCCTTCTCCCTGCTCCAAATCACGTAACTAAAAAGGTTGGATTTATTGTCCATATTATTCCTATTTCCTAAATATTAAGAATATTTATTTTATTTGTTTGTATTTGAATTATGAATAAATAAATTTGGCTTCACTTTGTTGGTTGAAGATGACGGAGAGCGCCTTTCCGATCAAGCACGAGTGGGGTGGCCACGGCCGGGGCCGCTACGTGGTGAGCGCCCGGCCCATCAAGCGAGGTGAAGTGGTGCTCGAGGCCCTGCCCTACGCCCTCGCACCCAAACTCCCCTCCCTCACCTGCACCCGCTGCTTCCGCTTTCATCCACCATCTTCAACTTCATCTCCCACCTCTCCATCTCCATCATCTTCGGAGTTGCAAACCTCCCAATTTGCGGATGTGAGCGACGATGAAGATGAAGATGAAGACAGAGTTGGCGCGGCCCAGGTCTCATCCACATCATCGACGAAGCTGCATCCGTGCTCGCTGGGCTGTGGCGCGGCGTTCTACTGCTCGCCGGCCGAGGAGGCGGACGACCGGCCGCTGCACGGCCTCGAGTGCGTGGCCTGGCGGCGCGTGCGCGAGGTGGGCGCCTCGATGGAGCTCACCGAGAGCGAGGAGGCCGAGCTGCGGCTCGTCTTCCGGATCGCGGCGCGACACCACCGCGAGACGCTCGACCACCGGTTCGCCGATGATGAAGCCGAAGCCGAGGAGGCCGATGATGAAGATGAAGACAAGAGCAACAAAAAGAAGAGGAAGAAGAAGGGGATGGACAACATGCAGAACGAACTGACGGAGCCCACCTACGACGACGTCCTACGGTTATGCTCCAACCGCGAGAAGCGACCAATTGAGGTCCGCCAGTCCTCCTTTTCGTGGGTGTGTCGTGCGTGTCGTGCGTGTCGTGTGCGTGTGCGTGTGCGTGTGCGTGTGCGTAGTGCGTAGTGCGTGTCGTGAGCGTGGCTGTTGACTGACGATTTGATGTGCGCATGCAGGAGATGACGTTCTGGCGGAGGGTGGTACAGCGGGTGGTGGCGCCGCTGGCGCAGACCTCAGAGTCGTCCGCGGGCCGAGGAGTCGCCTGGTCCAAATACGATTTTGTAGGTTGGCCGTACACCCCAAGCGATTGCTTGAATTTATTTATAATTATATTTAAACTTTTATCTCACCTCTGCGCTGACCTGCGGCCACCCCGAAAACACGACAGAGCTGATCTGCAAGAACCTGTGCAATGGATTCGGCTTGCGCGGTGCCGGAGGGCAGTGCTACGCCTACGGTGTCTACCCGGCCGCGAGCTACTTCAGTACACACCGCCCCTCGTCGCACACAACACACACGCGACACATGCACACGACACACACACACACACCGCACACAATGAAGTTCTGACCCTTTGTTCAGACCATTCGTGCTACCCCAACATTTGCCGAATTGAGCAGGATGCTGGCCAAGCCGCACCGGGCCGCAGGCGACAGAGGTCAGTCAGTACTCCCTTTCCCTTCTTTGTAGCTTCTATGCAACCTGTTCACACACGCACTCGCTTGTGCGTGCTTTGTGTCGTGTGTTGCATTTGTGTTGAATGGACAACAACAACAACAACAACAACAACAGCATCAGGTTCGTCGCGCTGGTCGACATTCCCGCCGGCCGCGAGCTTAGTCTGTCCTACATCGACGGGAGCAAGCCCACCGAGCAGCGGCGGCTCGCGCTCAGCAGCATCTACTTTTTCCACTGCATGTGCGCCCGATGCGAGACCAGCAGCAGCACCAGCGGTGGCAAGGGCAAGGGCGGCAAGACGAACAACAACAACAAGAAGAAGCGGCACAAGGACGACTACGTGCAGCGGTTCGTGTGCGGGAGCTGCACCAAGAACAACGGGCGCGGCGTCATGTACCCCGTCTCGCCCACCCACAACCGATGCAACCTGTGCCACCGAACCGCCGCGGTGGTGGCCCACCAGCGAGGCCCCAAGACTGTCGCCCGGCCTGCCACCACACAACAACAATAATAGAAGGCCTTGACTTGTTGGGACAAACTCCAACGGAGCACCGACAACGGAGATGAGCTCCATGTAGGCCACGAGCAACACAGCTCTAGAGAGACGCGCTGGACCCATAAACACCAGCCCCCGGCAGAGCGGTCGGCATGGTGGTGGTGGCCGCCTCCTTCAGCTCGAACTGGTAGGCTGGTCCCTTTTCCCACGAGTTGGCGCCAGGATCGACCTCGGGCACGGGGATGTCCTGGCGCGGACTCGGGTGAGTATGAGGGTTCAACTGCGGAGGTGGTGGACTGGTGGGCACCAGGCCAACAGCAGTGGTTAAAAGATAGGAGGATACCTCGCGTCCCTTGCGGCAGGCCTCCGTGTCGATGCCCAGCTTGCCGTGCACTCGGTCCAGCAGGCCCTTGTCCAGTTGGTCTGTGCACAGATGCGGGGAAGTTCACATCGTGTCGTGTCGTGTCGTGTCGTGTCGTACCGTCGGCGGTGAGGGCCATCATGAGACGTGGCGGACCCATGGGCAGCGGGTCGCCGCGGTCGACCTGCCAGAAGTGGAACACCTTGCCGTAGGTCTTGATGAACCCCTGCTCCCCCCCCCACACGCACGAGTCGTTATCGGTTAGGCCTGGCCCCACCGGCGAGCATAGCGGGCTTTCACCCGGGCGTACCTCCATGAACTTGTGCTCCGCTACCGATGGTACGCCCGGGAGCACCAACATCCCCGACTTGACCTCATAGTGGTGGCTGAACGGCCACACGACACACGACACACGCACACAACACACACAGCACGACACGACACGACAAACAGCACCACACATAGATCGTGCACAAAAGTCAGACAAAGAATGTTGGAGAAGGGCGAGTGGTGGTCCGGAACACACCTGTGCCACAGCTTCTTCTCGTCCTCGGGGAGGGTCTTGAACAGACGCTCGGACACGACGTACTCCACGCCGATCAGCCGCGCGTTCTCCTCGTTCGAGTCGAAGATGAGCTGCGCACCAGTCAGCAGACGGGGAAAAACTCATGGCCGCCTCATGAGCGCTTGAGTAGAAAAAGATAAGATCACAGGATCAGCGCACGTACGCACTGGTGGACCTCGTCGTTGATGCAGGAGCAGTAGTGGTGGGCCTCCACCTGACGCTTGACGTCCCCCGAGTAGAAGTGGAGCGCGCACAGGTGCAGGTGGACCTGCTCGAGCGGTGCTGCACACGTAGGAAGGAAGGAAGGGGCCTTAGCGCGGGGTCCGTCGTGTGCGTCGTGTGCGTCGTGTGCGGTGTGTGACGAGTGCGCAGAAGCCGGGACAGTGCCTGCTGAAGGTGGAGCTGCGTACCTTTGGACTGTAGGAGGCTGGCGCCGGCCTCGGCTGCCTTGAGTTTGAGCCACTCCGTGGTCATCGACTTGGCTTCACGTAAAAGGTGGGGTGGTGAGGTGAAGTGTGTTGTGTTGGGTTAGGCAAACTATGATAGTTTTTGTGCTCGCTCGCGGCCCTGGCCTGACTGTCCTTGTCCCGCCCGAGTCTCTTCCTCGCTTGCATTTCCCTTTTCTCTCCACCTCTTTTCGACCACCCTTCAGCTTCTTCTTCTTGCTGCTGCTGCCGCGAGGAGAAGAGGTTGATCCCGCAGGCCGGTTGATGGAGTGGAGAGGACGAAGCTGCAACTTGATGCAGTTGATGGAGCGCCTGCCCAGCGTGGGTAGACGTAGGGCGGGGTTCATTTGTATTACACAAGTGCGTGTAGTGCCGCCTGAGAGCATGTACAAGAAGAAGAAGAATAAAGGTGTGCTCGTGCTACCTGCGGCCTTTGCCCTTTTTCTGGTGTGGATGGAACGATGGATCATCACGTGAGATATGAGATGTGAGATGCAGTAGATTGTAGGGAAGGTACCATGGCTTGCTGCATGCAGGTGTTGAACTGGACGAACTCCTTTTGACACACGCCCTTCTCCAGCTCTGTCAGCTTGCCTGCCAAGCACTGCCCATACACGCCCGCCTGCAGTCATGAAGATCGATGAGCACGTTTTCGGGCTCTAAGAAGCGTCGTAAGTGCAGGAAGCACAAAAGCACCTCTTCGGAGCACTGAGCGAACGAGGAGCTGAGGAGCGACACCCAGCGCCGCGATGAAGACGTGGCTGGTCCGCTCATCTTCTTGTTTCTTTATTTCTTTTCTCTTGGCTCCATTTCTTTATTTCTTTTCTCTTGGCTCCATTTCTTTATTTCTTTTCTCTTGGCTCCAGCCCCACGTACCTATCCCCCATTGCTTCTTGTTCATCTTACAAAGATTCACGTTTGCATGTTCTAGGACACCCTCATCTTTTTCGTTATTCCTTCGGCTACTTCATGATTTAACCCATCATCCGCCAATCAGATGCGTCGAGGGCTCCGCTGGGTGTCGCAGGCAGCGGCTGTGGCGGTGCCGGTGGCCATCGGCATTCCGCTGGCCGTCGATGGCGCCATGACCATCTACACGGGCTACGCCAGCGCCGAGTGGCCGGCCGCCAAGGCCACCGTCACCCGCTTCCTGGCCGTGCCCGTCGCTGAGGCCGAGACCGAGGCCGAGGCTGACGAGGCCCAGCAACAGCAGCAGCAGGTGGCGCCGCGGGCGCGGTGGCACGACGTGCGGCGACGGATCGACCGACTGCTCAACAGCCAACACACGCTCGACTTCACCGTCGAGTTTGAATACACCCTGCCCGACGGGTCCGTGCTCTCTGCTTTCTCTCTCTTGCCCTCATCTTACCGTAAGTGAGAGCGACTCACGCGCGTGTGCGATGTCGTGTGCGGCGTGTGCGATCGATTGGCACAGAAAGACGTACGTGGGGACGTCGAAGCGGGACGCCAACTTTCCGAGCCGGCTCGACCTGGAGTGTCCGTCGTGCATGATGCAGGCCGAGACCATCATCGACTTCTTCGGCCACCCGGGCAAGCAGTTCCTCCTCTTCTACCACCCCGCGCGACCCACCGCCTTCACCAAACCACCTGCGGCCGCCCGCGCGCCGCCCTTCCTGCGCTCCCTCCTCGCCCGCCGGGAAAAGGGCAGCGACCAGCCCGAGGTGCGCCTCGGTCGCAATCGCCGCGACGTGTATGCGATGTTTTGGGCTGACCGACTGGTCTGGTGGTGCAGGGCCGGTATCCGCTGTACAGCCTGGACGCGGGGATGATCGCGCCCACGGCCTACGAGCGACTGGCCTGGGGCAGCGCTCTGGTCGGCGTGGGCGGACTCGGCCTGCACCCGCGCTACAGGTTCGGTTGTTTCGTCATTGCTGTCGTCATCGTCGTCTTCTTTCTTGTTCGTAATCGTCGTGGTCATCAACAGGACCCAATCATGGACGCAGCGTCTGACAACACAGCGGGGCCTGTTTCCGGTGTTCTGCTTGGCCGTGGCCAGCGGCGTCTCAGCGTTCGGGCTGAGTCTCTTTCTTGAGTCGCGCCTCGCCGCCTCTGCTGCCGCCAACAACAAACGATCTGGCGGTGGACCATGACCATGAGGAAATAAAGAGAGAGAGAGATGTCGTGCTTTCTCGATCGCTTGGTTGGTGGCTTTGGTGTGCCGTGCGAGAGACGCGCAGTACGTTGAAACCCATTGACACCAGACCTCTTCCAATGCAAAAGAAGAAGAAGAAATGGGGGGGGGGCGAGGTTGAGGATACAATCGTGTTGGTTTGGTTCTCCTACGAAGGAGGACGAAAAGGAGGAGAAGAAGAAGAAATTGGAAGACACACAAGGTCGCATCAACGCAACCCGGGCCATTGTTTGATGGCCCGGCATTGCTCGGGATCGCACTGTCGCCAGTAGTTGATGCTCGTTACATGTCGTCGTCGTCATCATCTTCTCCGCGTTCCTGTACATCTACCGTTTCCCCCCCCCTGGAGGCCAGGCTACGCTTCTTCCCGCGTCTGTTGCAGGTGTGGAAACAACACATAGAAACATGAGAAGTTAGTTCGTGCATGAGAGAACGAGAGAAGTGAGAAGCAGCAAAGTGAAAGTGAAGGGACGTACGGGAAGGGCGCGCTGGTCCTCGCCCTAATCGCTGGTGGTCGGCGCATCGGGCTCTGTGGCCCGGAATGCCGCCGCCGCCACTCGAGGCCAGGCTACGCTTCTTCCCGCTTCTGTGGTGCGTGTAACATATGATCAGTTGGTTGGTCAGTGAATGGAAGATGCACACAGAGAGCGAGAGGTTGAAAGACGTACGGGAAGGGTGCGCTGGTCCTCGCCCTAATCGCGGGCGGTCGGCTCATCGGGCTCTGTGGCCCGGAATGCCGCCGCCACTGCTCAAGGCCAGGCTACTCTTCTTCCCGCGTCTGTCGCACGCGCAACATAGAAATATGAGAAGTCAGTTCGTGAAAGGAAGCAAATTGAGAAGCAGCAAAGTGAAAGTGAAGGGACGTACGGGAAGGGTGCGCTGGTCCTCGCCCTTATCATGGTCGCTGATGATGGTGACCACGCGCCGATCTTGAGATGGATCGGTGGGTGGTCGTCTTCGTTGTAGTAGTAGTAGTAGTTGATGATGATGATTGTGTTCTTCTTGCCGGTCGTGCCGGTCGTCCGTCGCTCGTCGTTCCTCTCTCTCTTTTTTTTTTTTTTGGTCTTGACTCCTCCGTCCGCTCGAGGGTTGGCGGTGGCGGTTAGGCGAGGGTGGCCCACATCCCACCTTCGCTCAAGTCAGTCGCGTTCCTGTTTGTCGTTCCAACATAAAACCCCCCAAACGGTTAGCGAACGAGTTCAGCAGCAGACGACTCGCGAGCAAGAAGAAAGAGAAAGAGAAAGAGAGAGCGCGTACAGGAGGGCGGCGGGCAGCCGGCTGAGAACGGCCTGGAGCTGTTGGTCGTACACCGGCGGGAGGTCGGCCACGTCGAAAAACTGGCCCATGGTCATCGGGTTGAGCGGGGCCTCCTCGGGGCCTGCGTGGCGGCCGCGGAGGTCCTCAAGTACGACCCACTCCTCCGCATCGTCAATTGACGAATCCTCTTGGTCTTGCTCTTCTTCTTCTTCTTGACGTTGATTCTTGACCCGTTCGCACCAGTTGGTGTCGCTGCATGAATGATGATGAAGATGAACAACCAGATTAGAGGCCGCCAATCAATCAATACAACAAATCGGGAAGTATTAAGGACGTACATAGGAGGGAGGAGGGCCACGTCGATGAACTGGCCCATCAGCATTGGGTTGAGTTGAAATTCGTCGTTGTCATCGTGCGCCTCCTCCTAATTGTTGTCGATTTTTGAGATTGATCAAAACGCAATCGGCAAACAATTGCGATGTGAGCCAGAAGCGTACCGGCATGACTTCAGATTGTTGGCATTCCTCGCTCACGCACATCGCCGTGCTGAGGCAGGCGATCTCGCCTTTGGCCTCCTTGAGCAGGCTGACGAGCGGGCGCGTCTCCTTGGTGGGGATCTCATCTTGGGAGGCGAGCGGGTGCGTCTCCTCGGCGGTAATCTTGGGGGCCTCGGCCAGCTCCTTGGCCCTCTTGGCCGTCTCGACTGCCGCCTCGACAATGGCCAGCAAGTGGGCCGCCCATTGCTGTCGGGCGGCTTCCGTGCGTTTCTAATGGGTTGTTGTGGCGATTAATCAAATGCGGAATAAATAAATAATCGAAAGTACAATGAGCAAATGGGGGGGTACGTTGGTGGCCTTGGTGAGAACGGTGGTGATCACCGCGATGATCATCATGTCGAACAGCACCACACACATGGTGTAGTGGTGTCGTTGCTCGACCGAAAGAGTCCACAGACTCTTCTCCGTCGTGATGTAATGGCGGCCGACGCGGAACGGCGGAACCTCCTTCATGGAGCGGGCAGACTTCGCCACCAACAACGACCAGAAGTGGTCGTCGCTGGTCGAAGCGAAGCTGGCCTGAGGTACGATCGACTGCTCCATGCGAACGGTCAAGTCGATCGTGGCGAAGGTTGGGCCGGCGGTGGTGAAGAGGAACCCGATAGTGAGGGTCATCATCGCCAAGAACCAGAGAGCAAACTTGATGGTGTTGTTCATCATGTTGGTGAGCTGTGTGTTGCTTGCTTGCTTGTTGGTTGAAACGACAAAAGAAAAAGGCCAACGTTCCACCTTCTTGGTCTTCGCGAAGGTCACGGCGACCGGCCACGTCACCCCAAAAACACAATGCCCAAAAAAGGAAGTGGAGGAAAAGGACACCAATCACAATCACACAAATAAAGTAAATAACTGGAATACTTCGTGTAGCTGTGGCGAAAGATGAAAGCAACGCTGGCAGCACATCCCGAGATGTTCGAGCATAGAGATGGCAATCGGTGCATGCCTTGGGGACAAATCGAAACGATTCTTCTTTACTTCTTCCTTCTCCCCCCTTTGCCCATGCCTCATGGGCACCAACATCGCAGCTTTCACAACGTCCTGCTCTTGACGACTTTGAACGTTGCTCCTGACGGCAACACGTCCCAACGGCATCCTCACCCTTGCCCATCTAGACAGCTCTCGCCCCCCATTGCCGCCGACGCAGGCCTGAGAGATGTGGAGAGGCCAAACGGTGCACCTTTGGGGACAAATCGAAACGACTCTTCTGGTACGGTACCGTACTTCTTTCTTCCCCTTTGCCCATCGCCTTCTACAGAAGCCCAGGTAGGTACAACTCCACAACCCTGCCATCAAATGGTTTCAATTGTGGCCTGTGTATGTACGGCGGTACCGCAAGATTCGCGGCTGTACTTCCCCCCCCCCGCCAGGATGTGTGCCAGTGTGGCTCTTCACTCTCAAGTAGTACTTCGAAGCAGTGAGCCCGCCATAGAGTGGTGCTCAGCCAATAAATACACCAAGAGTTGTCTTCGCCCCCGCTTGCCTTTCATCTCTTTTCGCCTGCGTGAGGCGGTGGCGAGTTTCTTTTCCGTTGTATTTGGCCGCCCTTGAACCGGCGAGCAGACTGCTCCGCAGCGGCCGAGGAACAGGCTGCATCCTCAAGTCGTACGGAACCAGGGACGAAGAGAATCATAATGATGGTGGTGGTGGTGATGCTACCAACGACTGACGAAGAATAAACCAACAAAGATGACCACCGACAAGGATTGCACAGGTTCGAGTCTAACAAACAAGTGAGCAGCCTTCTCCTTCTTTGTTGTGGTCGTCTTACGAGGGGGGAGGGAGGGCTTCACATACCGATAGCTTCGTTGGGATCTTGGCCAGCGACTCGTCAGGACTTGTGTTGGTGGTGGAAGTCTTCAGCTCCTCCGCTCCAGCTGTTGTGTGGTGTTGACCGGTAGCCACTTGCCTAATGCCGCACCCCCCCCCAATGAAACTGAAAAGAAAAGCTGTCTGCTGGTGGGCTTTGGCGCACTGTGATCTTTTTCCGTTTATTTTGTACAAGAGGAAGAGCACCACCATCATCATCATCAACCTTTGGCGTTGGGGGAGGGCAGGGTGAGGAGGCGGGTGAGGAACGTGCAGAGGGTATTGACGAGGGCCGTGAGGTCGGCCTCCTCCTGTCGGTCCTCCTCCGCGTCGGTGCCCACCGACTCGGTGAGCCGTCGGCAGATGTACAGCCGCGGCTGGCCCTCGCCCACCTCGGCCGATAATGATGGCATCATCGACGAGGGCGACGACGGCACCGACGACGATGCCGACGAGAGCCAGGGCATGTTGAACACGGCCGGCTGGGGCGGCGGCGATGAAGGCGGCGACGAGGGCAGGGCCGGCGCGCCCGGCAGGGCCAGGTGGATGAGGAGGTCGGCGACGCGGCCGACATGAGGAAGAGGTGGCGGCACTGTGGGGTGAGGAGCACATGGGCGCGCTCGCGGTAGACCTCGCCCAGGTACTTGAGCACCTGGTGCCAGGGCAGTCCCATCCCGTACACGAGCGCCAGCGACGGGTCGACGTCGTCGATGGCGCGCCACCTGGCCATCTGCATCAGCAGACACACCTCGGCCTCGCTCATTACGCCCGAACCGTCTCCTCCCGAGCCTGCACGCCGCACACAACGTCAAACAACGCCGTACACGCATGACCGCACGCACGCACTCACACCATCGCACACGCAAGACCGCACCTGGGTAGGATGGAAGCTTGCTGAGCTTGAGCCACAGGTCGTCCCGGCGTCGGTGCATGGCGGCGGTGTCGACCACCTCGCGCAGTCGGCGCGCAGCGGCCTCGCCCACCTCGCCCATGGCACCGGCGATGTCGATGTCGAGATCGAGTTCGCCCACGGCCGACGGCGCGCGCGGCGACGCCAGCGGCACCGTGTGCGACGGCGTCGTGCGGAGAATGAACATCTTGATCCGCATCACACGCGGCGTGTAGGTTGCGGCCGCCGACACGCCCTCCTGCTGCTGGACCAGCGTCGGCTGACGACTGCTGGTGCCGCCGCCGAGGAAACTGCCCTCGCGGCCGCCGGGGAGGAGCTTGCCGACGAGGCTGCCCTCGCGGCCGCTCGGCAGGCCGGAGAGGAGGGACGGCTGCGGGACGAACGAGGCACCGCCGGTGTTGGCCGCGCCCGGCGTGGAAGTGACGGACGACGCCGTGGTGGTTGCTGACGTGGCAGTCGAGATGCCCAGCGCCGACATGCGATTCGATGACGAGGCGGTGCTCGACGAGGCCGATGAAGACGACGACGACGACGACGACGCTTGAAGAGTGTCGGGCAGCACGAAGGCCACCACCGAGTAGACCTCGTGCAGCTGCGAGGCCGGCGTCGGCGCCGTGAAATAGAACGCTGGCACGATGCCGCGCGCCTGTGTGACGGCCAAGCCCAGGTCAGCTGTGTGCCGGCCCAGCCCGGTACAGACGGGCAAAGCAAATAAATAACCGCGTTTTGGGTGGAAATGGGAGCGTACGTCGAGGGTGCGAAGACCGTAGCGGGAGGAGTGTCGGCAGATGAACTGGAACAGTTCGATGGGACCGATGCGGATGCCGTTGTTGGGCAGTGGAATGGAAAGAATGCGGGCTGCGAGCTGGTTGCGCGCGTAGGAGGGCGGCGCCGGCACGTCCTGCGACAGCGAGTGGAGGGTGGCGAGCCACTCGGCCGACGGCAGCGGCGGCAGCGCAGCGTCGGGCGCCGCCAGGAACGAGTGCAGCGCCTCCACGTGGAAATCATACACCGACGACCCTGCGAGTAGTGGTAGGCCACCATCAGAAAGAAAGAAGCGAAGGGCGCAAAGAACGAAAGAGGCGGGGAAAAAAGCGACAACTTAATGAAGAATGGATGCGTACCCAGGTGGAGCTGATGTCGCACGCGGCCGCACTCGCGGACCATCTGCTTGCCCCAGTTCTTGCTGCGGGATTCTGCGGCGGGGGCGGGCAGCTGCAGGCCGTAGACGTCGCAGGCCACGAAGCGACCGCGGAGCGCGACCGCGAGCAGCAGCACGCCCTCGTCACCCACCGGTTTGTACAGGTACGCCGTTCGCCCTTGATCCTGTGCAATGCAAAAACGAGAGGGTAAGCCACGACACACACGACGCGCATGACATGCACGCACACGCACACACGCACACACGACACACAGCACACAGCACACAGCACACAGCAGTACCGGATCGTTGGGGGCGTGTGCGGGGAGGGAGGTGCCGCCGAGCAGTCGGAGGTAGCGGGTGTACTGCTCGAGGAATTTGTAGGCCACGTCCTGCGCCCAGTCGGATTCGCTCGCGGCCTGCTTGGGCTGGGCCGAGAGGTAGAGCCGCTCCGACGAGGGCGGCGCCGTGGGTGCCTGCTTGGTGTGGCCGGCGGTGAAGCGGAACGGCACGCGGTAGCAGCACACGACACGCGCCGAATGGGTGATCGTCTGCGCGTGGTTGGCGTGGCCCTGCGGACCCACCCGCCCGTCGTTCCGGACCGATATCACGTTGTGCCGCCACTGGGAGGTCACGCGCACCAGATCGTACAGCTTCTTCATCTGTTGTGCCGCACACAAACAACAATAACAATAAATATAGCGAAAATCACATAAGCAATGACGGTAATAACAACGAATGATAAGAACAAGAACAAGAAATAAGCAGAGGGCGCACCCGGGTGTGGTGGTGCGCGGCGATTTCCTTGAGTTGGTAGCCGTGTCGGGCGAGTGGGTTGGGTTCGTTGGCGAGAGGCGTGCGGTGGAGCGGAACGGTGGGCGCCTTGTTCTGGAGGACGAGGTCGAAGTCCTCCTCCTTGCCAGCGCTGCCGCCATCGCCGCGGTCCCTGCCCCGCGAGCCCGCCCCGGGCGTCCCCTGCGCGCCCTGACCCGCGCCTCTCGCACCGCCTCCGCCCTCGCGCCGGGCCTCGGACTTGGGCGTTTGTGGAGGCAACGCCGGCTGCGGGATTAACGCCTCCATTGCCTGCGTGTGCGGTGTGCGTTGCGGTGTGCGGTGAACGTGAGCGTTAGCGGTGTGCGCGTGTGCGATGAGCTCAGGGAAAATTGTTAGAAGCTGAGCTGGGGTGTGGTACCTCGATGGAGAAGGGAGAAGCGGCGGCGCCGCTCTTCTCGGCGCCGCCCTTGGGCGTGGTGGGCATCGGAACGCCGCGGAGGAAGCGCAGCGCCGCCGGGATCTGTCGACCGGGCGCAGGACCACCGCCGGGAGTCGCGGACGATCCGCCGGCGGGCGTGGGCTTGGGCAAATGACTCAAGCGGCAGTAGAGCCCCATTTTCTGAAAGAATTCGATGAATGTCAGTGCGCACGAGTCAAAAGGCGGCCAACGGCGTGTGCGGTGGTGTTTCTGGCGTGTGAGTGTTGTGTGTCGGTGCGTGTCGTGCGTACCTGATACAGAATGCGTTGCAGGACTACGTCGCGCTGACGAGCCCACCCGGCGTGCTGCTCGACGAAGGACGAGAGGCGCTCGGTCAACGACGTGGCCCAGTTGTAGGTCAGCACCTCGGCCCGATCGGCGGTGATCTTGCCGATGGCGAACCACCGGCGTCGGCCCACCGACACCTGGTCCACCGACGACGGCCCGCCGCCGCCGGCCCCGCCGATGCCACTTCCGACTCGCGCGCCTCCGGTCACCTGCGCGAACAGCGTGTGGTGGGGCACCGTGGGGCCCTCCTTGCGGTCCTCCTCGATCTGCGCCGTCTCGCTGTCGCCCACGACGATCGTGAAGAGGAACTTTTGCTTGTTGGCAATCAGCACCTTGGGCACCTTCCGCGCCTGTGGTGGGAGTGTGAACGAAAAGAAAGAGAAATCCGATAAGAAAATGCGGTCGCGGCGAGACACTTCACAAGAGCTGGATCGGGCCGGGGCGCACCTCGACGCTATGCACAGCGTCCGGGTAGCGCACGAGGAGCGTGGGTTTCGATGCGGGTCGCATGTCGTGAAGCAGCGTGAGCAGGCTGGTGACGAAGGTCTGGAGTTCCCAGGCGCCCATGGACACGGGACCACCGACGAGGTTGACCGACGGGCTGCTGATCGCCGCCGCCTGTTCCAGCAGATCGCGCGCGGCCAAGGGCATGGCCGCCCGACGCAGTGCGCTCGTTTCCAGGGCGTAGTCCAAGAGAGTCTTACGGAGGGTCTGGCGTTAGTGCAATCGCACGCGATAACTACACGACGCACGGTGATGGTAGGTACCTGGTGAATCCGCTCCGACAGCTTCTGGGAGAGGGCGTCGATGGAGAGGCCACCGCGGCCCCACATGTCGATGGCGATGCGGTACCGGCACTCGCGCTCGTCCGTGCGGGCGAGGGAGGGGGAGTACTGGGGCAGCTGCGCCCGCACGATGCTGAGCCACTCGTCGATCTGGGGGCGGTCGGCCGCCTGCGGGACGTGAGGCACCCGCAGCACCGTCCGCCCGTGGGCGTCCAGCAGCCGTATGAACACGCACGCCATGCCCTGCCGACAGCTCTCATCAGCACACAACCGCACGACACGCGACCACACAAAAGGGGGGTGGGCGCGAACCTGTCCTATTTCGCCGCCGGCGCCTCCCGGCCCGGAGGCGGCGCCCTGGTTGTAGAGGAACATGAAGTCGGCTTCGGTGATGGTCACGAGTTCGTCGGTCTGCTCGTCCTCCGGGGCTGTCACGGTCACTGTCGGCACGGCGTCGACCTCGCCCGTGACGCTGGGCGAGTCCAGCGTAGGCCGCCCCGACGGTCCGACCGCGAACTGCATGCGGTACAGCAGCCTGCACGTGCGCATGATGACGTCACGTATGACACGTCAGCATGAGTCAGCACGAGAAAAGGGGGAGTGGGGGCGTTGTACAGGAGGAGATTCTGCCGAAGGAGGTGGAGGAAGAGGTAGCAGTCGGAGAGGACCAACGGCAGGCCCAGTGTGACGGACTTGTCGGGGACGGGCGAGGGCTGGAGGAAGGCCACGTCCTCGGCGGTGAGCTTCAGCAGCGGGTTGCGCAGCAGCAGGCTCGAGATGACCGCCAGGGTTGTCGACGACAGTCGGCTTTCGACCACCTGACCAGCGCAAACTGACAGTTAGCATTCGCGCACACTGCATCACCGCACACGCATAAAACAAAGAAGAAGGGCACACCTCGCGCAGTTGGTCGGCGATCTCGGCGCCGACTTCTTCGACGCCAAACACCTCGACCTGGAGCACGTAGCCGGTCGGCTCCTCCTCCCCGAGGAGGCCGTCCTTGTCCGCGCCGCCGCGGACCAGCGAGAGCTCGCCGCTCCGCGAGCCCATCCGCTTCAGCTCCTGGCTGTCCCGCAGCGCGGCGACCTGCGGCGATCGGGCCTGAGGCCTGACGTCCGCCTCGGACACCTTCTTCGCCACCGGCGTTGGCGTCGCAACTCCCGTCGACTCCTTGCTCTGGGGGGTCGCGGGGGACTCGACCTTGGCGGCGACCGGCGCCGGCGAGGGCTCCTTGCCCTCCTGCTGCGCCTCTGCCTGGGCCACGGTGAGAGCCGACAGGCGCAGATAGAACGTGTTGCCGGTTTTTTCCTGGTTTCGCCATGGAATTCAAGTTTAGTACATTCTTGTGCGTCGTGCGGATCATGTGCGTGTCGTGTCGTGTCGTTGGTCGTGTCGTTGGTCGTGTCGTGTCGTGTCGTGTCGTGTCGCATCAATGATGTGTGCGTGCCGTACCTTGTAGACGAACATGTGCCGACGGTTGCCGATGGCAAAGGGGTCGAGGACGGCACCGATCACGGCGCGTAGTGCCGCGTCGGGCTCGAGCCTGCGATGAAGAGGGAATCGGATGACATGCACCCGCGGACAGGCAAAGCGACCCGGCCGGTAGGCCTCCAAGTCGAAGAACAACGGGTTCGCCCGCTGCACGCGCGCAAGACAAGGCATTTGAGTAATTCGTTACAAACCACGCCCCATTATCAAATGAAAGGCAAAGCTGGTGTGGTATGGTACGTACCTCCTTGCCGACGTGAAGGATGAAGTTGTCTTGCCAGGCGCTGCGTTGCGTCTTCTCCTTTTCGTCGCTCTCGGATGGCGGAATGAGCAGCGCCGAGCAATGCGACGTCTTATGCAACGACCTGGAAAATAGATTCGTGTGCGTGGCGTTGGCACTCGTGGCGGTGGTATTAAGGCGAAGAATTTGACGGCAAGGGCGTACCACAAGAGGATTTCCTGGTTCACGCGACGCACGAGGTGCGCAATGGACCGCTCGGCGCGCATGACCACCGCGCGAGCCTCCTCGGGCGTGAGCCGGCCTCGCTGGAATCGCAGTCGCACCCGCGGGCCGTTGATTCGGCTGTCCTCCGGCGTGATGATGAGCCAATAGGGAAGCTTGTTCTTCTCGCCCTTTCCCTCGCGGCCTTCTCTGTCGCTGGCCTCGTCGTCGTCGTCGTCGTCTTCTTCGCTCAAACGCTCATCTTCGAGGTCGGCGTGGAGAAGGCCCTCCACACTGCTGTCGCCGTCATCGACATTGTCGACCTCGTCGACCGCCTCGTCGGGCAGCGCGAGGAAGTCCTCGCCGACCGGCTGCAGTCGTAGCGCGTCTGCCTGTGCCTGCGGCCGCGCCAACTGCCGCAGGAATATCTGCATTCCCTTGCCCGCTTCCTGTTCATTTCCCGGGGTTAGTCCACAACGCGATTCAATCCTATCGCCGGCCCAAGAGCTCTTGGGACTGGAAGCGCACCAGAAAGACCAGCGGGTACACAGCCACATGTCGTCTGCCTGACGGGAGCGAATCAACCTGCACCAAAGCAATCAGCCGTTAGCACGCGACGCACGACACGCACGACACACGACACACAACACACACGATACCTGCTGCACGACGACACCCAGAGTGTCTTCGCGGAGGTCGACGCCACCGGCGGGTCCGAGACGGAGGGACTGGCGGATCTTGTCGAGCGTGTAGAGGGTGAGCGAGGCGTGGATCTCCGCGCGCAGTACCGTCATGGCGTTGAGGATCGGGGCCGGCAGCGTGTTGTACGGCCGCGGGATGTCGTGAGCGCCCGACTGGCCCGCGGCGTGATTGCCGTGCGATTGCGAGCGTCCGTGGTGGCCGTGGTGATCCGATCTGCCAACCAACCAACCAACAATCAGATCTTGCTCTCGCTCGCCACTCAACAATCAGAGATCATCGCTACGTACCTTCGGGCGTTGGTGCCGCGGGTGAGCTCCTCAAAGTAGTCGCCGGTCGACGCGTTCCTGGGCGTGGGCAGCGGGGGCAGCGTGAGCGCCACCACCTGCAGGACCACCTTGCCCCGCGACGTGCGGAGGAACGAGGCGCTGCTCTGGGAGTGGAGGTAGTCGAACGCGTCCGCCTCCACATCCTCCTGCACCAATCAGCGTTTTACGTTGAGTCCGGAGACACTGGTGAGCATCCACCAATCTAAACTCTGAGAAATCAATACCTGGATGTCGGGGTCATCGGTGTCGGTGTCGGTCGAGAAGCTGCGCAGCGGCTTGGGCGTCATGCCGTCGGTCCCGGTGTCGGTGTCCTCGCCGATGTCGGTCGCGTCGGTGACGTCCGTGTCATCGCCGTAGGTGTCGTCGCCGTAGTCCGACAGCTCGGTCCCGCTGCCCATCGAGTCCTTCATTCCGTTGCTCTCCCCCAGCGCGTCCTCGTCGGCGTCGATGTCGGTGTCGACGCCGGCCTTGTCGGCCTTGTTGGGCTTGATGGCCGACGAGGCGCGCGACACGGCCGTCGATATGGGGTCGACCTTGAGGAAGAACGGGAACGGGAACACGCCCACGGACGGGTTGCGCCGCATGAGGCTGGCCGTCGGTAGCGGCTGGGTCATCATCATCTGCTGCTGCGACTGCGGCGCGTAGAAGAGAAGCTCCTCCTTCCAGAACGACTCCTCCTCGTCGCTGGGCCCGCCGCCGTCATCTTCGTCGTCGTCGGCGGCGTCGTCGGCCTCGCCGCCGTCGGCGTCGCTCGGCTTACCGGTGTAAAAGTAGAGCCCGGCCGAGCCGGCGGTGACCGGTCGGTAGGCCTCGGCCACGATGCTGCGCAGCCGCTCCTCGAGCGCCAAGATGGAGTCGCCCTCGGGCGCGTGCGCCCGCAGTATGCGCAGGTACTGCGAGAAGTCGACCGGCATGTGGTATTGCGCGCACGTGGCCAAGCCCTAGAATTTCAAACAGCCATCACACACGTCAGCGCGTGCTCAGGAATGCACTGTGGGCGAGGGCTAGCGTGTGTCGACACATACCAGGGCGATGTCGTGCGGGTGCACGGGCGCACCATCGCGGAGCGCCGTGTAGACGGCCTTGACGAAGGCCCGCTTGTAGAGCCGGTGCACGGCGCGAACGACCAGCGCGGCAGAGGTGGTCATACGATTCAGCGCCTGGCCTCGCTCCTTGTCCGTCTCGTAGTCGCCCAGCGAAAGCAACAATTCGCGCACGACGCGCGAGTGCATGGTTGGCTGATGCGCCACGCTGAAAAATCAAGTGTGTGCGTGTGCGGTGAGACACAACATGTAACGGACCTGGGGTTGTCGAGAGAGAAACGTACGCATCACGCGAGCATTCGTAGTATCGGATGGGGAAGGTCGGGTTGTGTGTGTGCGACGAAGGCGCGTGGTAGGGCGGCAGGACGGCGAGCACCACACGGATGTTGGACATGACCTGCAGGATCACAATCGTTAGCCCGAGCCGGCTCGCGTTGTAGACTGGCCACGATATTCCGAGTGCGCACCTTGGTGAAGCAACGCTGCCCCGCGACCTCGTCTTCGTTGGCCTCCTCGGACTGAGACATCATCCTCTCATCCACCTTCACCTGCTCACGTTTACATAGGAGGTGGGAATTGAGTCAGTGAGTCAGTGGCCACTGGTGCCGAGTGTCGGGTGATGCTCGGGCGCAGTGTCAACCGCACCTCACAGTCGGTGAGCACGCGCAGGGCCACGGCGAGCATGTTGTAGAGCGCCTTGTTGGCCGCCGCCTGCGCGGATCCGGCCGCGCTCTCGGCCTCCTCGGGTGAGGCGTCGGGAGACGGCAGTGGCAGGAACGGACTGAGCATCGGGTACGACTCCTCCGCCTTGAGACCAAAGGCGATCAAACTCCGCACGCTTACGCCCGGTCGCTGCAGGCTGTGCTCATTTGGTGAGATAAAATAAAAAGGAATCAAAAAACGCAATAATAATACTAACAAATTATAATAAATCATAAATAATAATCGATAGGCACGAACCTGTACTCGAGACTGACGCCTGAGTCGTAGTCGTCGATGGCCGACCCTTCGATCTGGAAGCCGGGGTTGAGCGGCGGGAGAGCGATGGAGAGCTCGATGCGCGAGCCCGGCGCCCGGTTGACGTGGTTGCTCAGCAGGTCGAACGAGCACAGCGCGAAGATGACCCGGCAGTCGGCCTGGTAGAGCGACTCGGCCGCCTCCTCCCATATCTCGCGCTCCGAGAGGGTGCGCCGGCCGCCGTTGGCCATGCCCGAGTCCAACGTGTAGGTTCTGACCACTCGCATGTGAGCAGACGCGTGCGAAAGTTGTGGTGTGTGCCGTGTGTGCCATGTGCGCTTGGTGGTTGACGGGGGGGGGGCTCACCCGTATTGAGGCTCGATCCAGAGCTCGGTCACCAGGTGGGACGGCGGGTGCTGGTAGAGCACATATTGCACCACGCAGCCCGCATATCGTCCAGCGGCGTGCCCGGACGAGACACGGAAACTCATTTCCTGTTGGCGCGGGTCAGCGAGTGCGCTGTGCGTGTCGTGTGGTGCAGTTTTTTCTGTACCTTGACAAGATTGAAATGGGGCGCTGAAGTGAGCAACAGGAAGTGATCCCGCAGACGCGCTGCCATGAGCAGCTTCGCCGCCGCTGCCCTTGTGTCGTCCTGTGTGTAGAATAACGTACCAAAGCGAAACGGAAACGAAAAGTAATTAGAAATCGTTCAAACACAGTCTCCCCCCACACACACAACCAATCCAGGGTGGTTGAGCCGAGCGTACCTCCGGTATGGGCCACACCCAGCGCTTCTTCCACAGGTAGGTCCCCAGCAGCGGCACGGTGGGCGCATTGAGGGAGGGCAGGCTGCCTTCCCGCGCGTCGGCCACGTCCTTCGGCTCGTACTTGACCACGATCGGCCGGAAGAGCTTGCTGAAACTGCCAAACTGCCGGGTCTCGCGCTTCTCCTGAACCATTTTCACCAGAATTTGAATTGGTGATTCGTTATTTTCGGAGATAAAGCCTTGTTGTGTGGTACGTACGCCGACTTTGGCTTCGTTGATCCTGCGCTTGAGGTTGCGCAGCGCCGACCGCCTCTCTGCGGGCCGCGCGAAGAAAGACAGGTGCGCCACCACAAAACTGCGCAGAGAAATTAAATCAAAAAGTGAGCCGCACCGCGCTTCGCTCGGGCACCGCTGCTGCGGTGATGACGTGTAGAGAGGGGTACACACCTGTTGGTCTCCCAGCTCAGTCGCAGGAGGCAGAAGGAGGGCGAGGCAGAGGCGGTGGAGGAGGGCGGAAGGAGCTTCACGAACACCGACTGCGAGTCGCCGAAGGAGGTCCAGTCGCGGCACACCGCAGTCAGCGTCTCCCTCGCCGGCTGATACAGCTGGTTCAACTGTTCACCACGACACGACACGACACGCGCACGACACACGCGTCAATTGGCGTGTTGAAGGCGGGAGGAGAAGTGGTCGGCCGCGTACCTGGTGGCGCGAGGCGGTGCTCAGGCTCTCGGCGGCGTGCTCCACCCCGTTGGGGAAGAGCGAGGACTCGGGCAGCAGCAGGAGCTCCAGCTTCTCCGTCTTGAGCCATCGGTGCAGTCGCCCACGTAGGGCCGGCAGGAGCTCCGAAAATCGCCGGCGTTGCTGCGCGGCGGCACGCGATTGAACGGAAGATGAGTCGTCGAGGGAATCTCGCAGTGGGTGGGCGGGCGGGTGGTTGGGTGTACCTCTTCCTCCCGGGCCAGCCGGTCCTCCGTTTCAGTGCTCACGGCTGCGCTCCATTTCGAACGAGACGGCCCAGGACCCGCGTGTCTGGTGGCAAGTGTGATCATCGCAGGTTCCAAAGAGAGCAAGGACGACGCGCACGCAAAGCAACGAGACACACACGCGGCATACCCTTCGGGAGCGAGCAGGGCCAGCTTGGACATCTTGGTGAGGAGCACCCGGAGGACTCGGTCGGTCTCGGCGATCTCCTCCACGAATTGCTGGATGGGCGAGTGTTGCGTGTAGCCCGGTTTCTGCATCGATGAGGGCCAGCAAAGTCAATAAAGCTCAGCTCCTGCCGCATGGGCGTGCGGTGGTGCGTGTGCGATTACGCATGTGCGGTGGTGCGCGTGCGTGTGCGTACGTGTCGGTTTTGGCTATCGAATCGGTGAAGAAAGTCGCGGTGGGCGGCAAGGTAGATGCGGATGTGGAGGGTCCCCAGGAGCGAGCTGAAGTTGGACTGGCCCAGGGAACCCCTCCGCGACGTGGAACCAGAGGTGAGCCAGTACTCGAGGCTGACGTCCGGCTGCCACCCCAGTCGCAGCCGCGCGGCCACCTCTCCCTTGCCTGGAACACACACACACACACACACACACACACACACACACACACACACACACACACCACACACACGAATGGTAGCCATGGCTCAGAACTGGGCAGAAGCCAGAGTTGTGGGTGAGTGAAGGCGTACTCTCATCGAAGACCAGGTTGTGCAGCTGGAAGCCCTCCTGCAGCCGCAGGTCGACGACGTGCGACAGGTGGCAGTCCAGGTGGTACTCGCGCACCTTCAAGCGGCCCACGGGAATCTCGGGCGGAGGGTACGAGACCCACGGAAACGGATGATTCACCGCCACCGTCGGAGGCAGCATGCTCGGCAGCAACTGCACACGGCCAACTGATCAGTGTGTCGTGTCGTGTGCGTGTGGTGTCGTTGGTCGTGTCGTTGGTTGTGCAGCATGTGCCGTGGTGGGGAGTGATGCGTACTGGATCGCTCATGCCGCCGGCCATGTCCGATTCAGGGCGCATGAGTTTGAACTCTTTGATAAGCAAGTGTCGCTGGATGGCTGTGCAGGCGAGGTCGTTTGCCACGTCCTCCACGGGCCGGTCGCTCAGCAGGTCATCCTCCTGAATGAACTGGCCGGAGGTGCAGTTGCACAGGAAGCGCAGCATGTCTGGTCCGGACGAGCTTCGAGTGAGATGGGCGCAGAAAATTGAACTGCACACGCACACGCACACGCACCACCGCACATAGCAGTAACGATATGTCTCGTATTTACCTGTGTCGGGGATGTAGCCAAAGTGGCAGGAGGGCCGGTCCTCGAATCCGTCGAGCAGGATCACCGAGCATGAGATGTCCTCCCGGTTCAACAGCATGACGTAGCTGTCGTAGGTGCGTCCGTCGGGGATGGGCGTCACACCGTCGGTAATCACTGTGCACAGCGAACAATCAACAACGGCAATCAACGGCAATCAGCGCTCCGCCCGCTAGCGATCACGTGGGTTTTAAAGTAACGTCATCACGCAGGGCTGATGCGTACGAATGAGGCCCGGGCTGGCGTCGTGGGGGAGGAGTGTGAGCGCGAACACTCCGTTTTGCAGAGCGACACGAAGGTCGGGTGTGGCGAGTTGAGGTCTTGTGTTCAGTGAGGTGTGTGGTTGTGGTTGTGGTTGTGGTGCCATTAGCATGGACCGAGGGCGGAACGCAGCGAGGCGGGGAGGTGGGTACGTGTTGAGATAGATGTGAGCGATGTCGGTTTCGAGATGCTTGAGCTGCTTCTTCAGCGTAGCGAGCAGGGAGTGAGCATTCGCCGAGGTGAGCAATGCGCCTTGCACCAACACTCGGAATGTGTCGCCGGTAGAACCCTGAGCGAGCACCGACACAAACACCTCCAGCACAACCTGCACTCGTTGAACACCACCGTGAGTTACCGCACACGCACACGCACACGCACGCACACAAGCACACAAGCACACCACACAAGCACACACGTGCGATTCAACGTCACAGGGGATGATTAGGGCACCTCTATGTTGAGTGCGGGGAACACGATCGGCTTGATCAGCTCCAGGAAGCAGTGCTCCAGCACGGTGTAGAAGTGCTCGTAGAGAACGCTCCCCGACGGGGTGAGGCTCGCCACCGACGGGCTTATGTCGAGGGAGAACACCAGGCGGTGACGCGCGTAGATTGTGTACACGCTGCTGCCGGGCTTGAGCGCCAGCGGCTGTGTGGCGGCCACCGGACCGGCGATCACGGCGGTGGTGGCCGCTGGGGCGACCGCGTCGCTGGCCTTGGCGGCCGCCGTGTGCTTGCCGACGACGACGAGGGTGGCGGCGCTGTTGTCCTTGGAGGCCGTGCGGAGGGTACCGCGCTTCGACAGCCGCTTGGTCTCCGAGGCAGACAGGAGGAAGTGCGAGCCCAGCCGCGTGGTGGCCGAGAGCATGAATAGCCCGAGCGCTTCATCGTCCTGCACAGTTGTACAGCAAACGCAAGAAACAGATGCAAGCACGACAATTAGCAAAGTCCATTGCTTGCATTGCGACAATTTAAGGAAGAAATTAAAATCTGAATGGAGATCGTGAGGGAGAAATCCCACTCAATCAAGTGAGAGGAATAATGATGATGGATCGGAGGCGCACCTCTGCGACCTCTAACGAGGTGGCGGCAAGCAGTCGCTCTACAAACCACAGGAGACGGTCATTGCGAGCAAAGGAGGAGTGATCCGAGACCACCAAGAAGAGCTCATTCGTTGCCAAAGGCTCAGCATTCGGTAGTGCCGCCATGTGCTTGCCCCTTGCGGCCGCAATCGAGCATGCGAATTCGGCGACTGATGTGTGTTGCTACTTGCTTTTGCTTTTCACTTGTTTTCTCAGACGAACCCGCGAAAAAGAAAACCAAACAAAACTCTGAACGCCGCACAAGAGGTTGTGGCTACGGTTCAAGCCAGACGGAACTGGTAGTCTCCGCTCATGGTCACGTAGCGCACCCACGGGAGTGCCTGATATCTGTTGCGTTGTCCAGAGGCGATGGATCGTCATGTGAGCATAGGTGCCGAGAGCCTCATTGAGCGTTGCGTAAACAAACTGTGGTGATGTACCCTGAACGCTCAAAGACCTTGAGGTAACGGACCTGAAGGCCCGACACAGGCAAACCGGGAATCTCGAAGTGGACGGTGATGGGCGGGTGCGCGAACCTCGGCGCGTCTTCCTCGCCTCCTGCGGCGGGCGCGAGCATTCCGTTGTTCATATTAGATGCTGCCCATGGCGGCTGGGAGCATGGAGGGCCGGAGTGTACCGCCGGTCGAGGGAAGTGCGACGTGCGCCCGGAGCAGGAACTCCTTGCCGCCCTGGAAGCTGGGGATATGCCAACAGATGGCGTCCTTCTCTGGCACGTACTGTAATAGGCCATGAAAAGAAGAAGAAGAAGAATAGGAATGAGAACAGGAACAGGAACAAGAATAAGAATAAGAACGTGATATAATTAAATAAATAACTAATAAATAAGAATAAATAACATTATTTGAATTACCTTCACGGAACCACTACTGGAGTTGGTCCTGAACTTGGGCGAATCCGCGTCGGGAGGCACGGGCACGAAGATGTTGACGTTCTTGGCCGTCGAACGGGTCTTGAACTGCGCTCGAGCCTGTGCCCATCGCACGACATTCCATGCACGCATGGATTAGTCACCAGCCGTAAGGTACACTCATGTGCGTGCAAACTGTGCAGCCATGGGCGCTGGTGAGGGGGTACCTTGATGAGATATTCGACGCGCGAGTGTTGGTGCACGTTGACGATAGCTTCCACCCAGATGAGCGGCTTGATCTGCGCACGCGTGTGGCCGGAGGCCACGTACAGTTTAAAAAAAGGAAAGGAAAGGAAAGCCACGCAGGAGAACGAGAGAGCAATGAATACGTGGAGAGTGCTGAGTCGGTAGGTCATCAGCGAGAACTCCTCGTCGGGCGGGATGAAGCTGATAATCCTGTTTTGTGTTGAGAGTGGGTGAGAGAACTTAAGTACCACCCCTCAAGTGAGCACCCAGTGTACACTGAGACCACTACGTACCTGTCCCTTTCGAACTCGGTGAGTGATACACACTGATTGAACGCGATGTCTTCCATCACCACCGTCCCCTTGCCGCCCGAGGCTGCACCCGTACAACGCATGCCGGAGATGAGGTTTATCTAAACAATGACAACAATAACAAAAACAACATAATAATAACAAAAAGAGATAGAGAAGAAACAAGTGCGGTACCGGTGAGGGAGGACTCGAGTTGCAGGCGGTCGTTGAGCCCGAGGGAGAGGTTGGGCATGCCCGACAGCTCGGGCTTGATCCTGATCTGACCCGTCAAGTCCGAACGCAGCACCGCTCCGTTGGCGCTCACCTAATCGTGGTACGCGGCCGCCGCACAGCACGACACCGACCAACAACGACAGCGCAAGCACAACAGGTTCTGCGATTAGCGTGCGCAGCTCCCAACGTGGCGTGCGTCTCCCATTGGAGATGAGATGAGATGAGATGCAGGCGATCGTACGAGAAGGTTGACTTTTTCGATGACATCGAGGAAGACCTCGTTGGACGCGTACTTGGCGCTGCCATTGCGCCACGGCACCGCCGTACTCAGCGAGGGCGCCGGCCGCACCTCCTTCTGAAGCTTGTACGAGTCTTGTGTGATAAACCTGCAATCACACGAAACACACATAGCACACGACGCACGACACGCACGACACACGACGCGCAGACCACGCGTGTAAGATTCGTGTGCGACGCTACATCGCAGGCGAAAGCAGGAGAAGTGTGCACTCTTTGAGAATCTTGGCGTCGGTGGCTTGCGGATAGCCAAAGTCCATCATCTCGTCGAGGAGCTCGTAGATGATGATGAAGTTGTCCTTGATGCTCTCCTCCTCGAGTCTGTTGAAGTAGCTCACCAGCACCTGGATGAGCTTGTACAGAAAGAGCAGCATCATCGCCGCGTCCGCGTTCTTCGGGGTCACCGCCAGAACTGTGTGTGTTGAACATGTGCGGTGGCGTGGTTTAGAGGAGCCGAGAAGATGAAACAAACGTGAGCCAAGAAGATGAACATACGGATGAGGTTGCTGTGGTTGACGGAGACGTAGGTGATGCCGTCCTCCACAAAGATGGGCTTCGCCTCTGAGTCCTCGGAGGCCATAAAGATGTCCATGAATCGCTCTGCCGCCCCCAGCCGCACATCGCCGCGGTAGTCGCGCCAGATCAGGACCTTCCCCTGTTCAAACGATGTTTCGGTTTGCCATCTTTCAATTTATTGCTATGTACAAAGCTTCTACTCTCAAATTTGATGCGTGTCAAAGGATTACGAACCCGAGAGTCGAGAATGAACACAGCCGATGGACCAAACATTCTTCTCGTGATCAGCGCTGTGCCTTGTGTTGCTCTTCTTCCGTTGCTTTTTCTTCCCTTCTTTCTTTTATTTGAATTAAAAAATATGAGTAAAATGCAGAAAAGGGAAGCCAACAGCCAGAAAAGGTGCGAGCCAATCGAATCGAAAAATACAAGCATGCTGGGTTCTTTACTCGTGACATTGGCCTGTGTGTCTGCCTGCTCGTACACGCGCGCTCCTACATGTGTGTTGGGTGTGGGTATCGCCTTGTGCGTTGGAGTGCCGCCCTGGCCGTACAAGGAACCAACAACCACAACCATCCTAATAATAAATTAACGCCGCTCCTCGCTCCTCGCTCCTCGCTCTCCCCTTCATCCTTCGCCCAGTTGCGCTGCTCGCCCTTCACTTCGCCCGGTTCAGTTGCATGTGACTTCGCGTCAGGTGGCCAGCTGGTCAATAGATACGCTCGGGTTAGTACGAAAGCCAACGCGCGACCCTTCAGGAGGGCACGGGACTTTGTGGTGGTGGTGGGGGCATTGTACCGGCGAGCGCGGCCATCAGGGACAGCTCTCCGGCGAGCACACCCGCGCACACCACCTCGGCCAGCTTCTCGGCATTCCGGCCCGGGTTCTCCTCCGACGCTCCCTGCGCGCAGAGAGAGAGAGAGAGAGATGGGGCAAAGCGGCGGGGCGGGCGCGGAAGATCATCAGCGTTGCGGCCAATTATGGAGTCGGGTGGGGTGGGGCAAGCGGCCGTAAAGAGTGAGTGAGGGGAGGGGGTACCTTGACGTGGAGGAGGTCGAGACAGGCCGACTGGGCCGGCAGGTGGGTTCCGCCGCCCACGGTGCCGACCTCGATAGAGGGCATCGTGCACGAAATGTACAGATCGTTGCCGTCGTCGGTCCTGTTGGACGTCCCAGTGCATTGGAAAACAGCAATTTGCGAGTCAGAACTGTGCGAGGCCAACGGTATTATCATAAAACGCCAAGTAATGAGAGTTTGTGGTGAGCTACGTACGGCTCCATTATGGTGAGACAGTTGGAGCTCTCGACGTTTTGGGCCGGGTCCTGGCCAGTGGCGATGAAGATGGCCGTCACGATGTTGGCCGCGTGCGCGTTGAACCCGCCTGCGTAATATGCGAAGAACCACACACGGTCAGACTAATAGTGATAATAATTAGCGTTGCAGTGGGGTGGTGGCTCGTTGTTTATACCGATGGAGCCGGCCATGGCCGAGCCGATGAGGTTCTTCTGCGTGTTGAGCTCCACCATGGCCCGCACCGTGGTCTTGAGAACGCTCTCCACGACGTCGCCCTTGATGATGGCCTCGCACACGACCGACTTGCCGCGTCCCTCGATCCAGTTCATGCTCGACGGCTTCTTGTCCGTGCAGTAGTTGCCCGACAGACTGTGTGTCGTGTGTCGTTGCAGCCAACGGTGGTGGTCAGCCAGTCAATAACGTGTGCGCGCGCACCAATGCTCGAGGGGGGGGGCTTTTACCTGACGATGAGCATGTCAGGGAAGGCCTGCTGGATGAAGGCCAGGGCCTTTTCGGTGCCCTTGGAGAGCATGTTCATGCCCATCGCGTCGCCCGTGCTGCTCCGGAATCGGATGTAGGCGTTGCGCCCGGCGATCGCCACTTTGATCTGCACAAACAAACCAAATACATACAAAAGAGAGAAGGGGAGTGAGATATACGAGTGTGCGGTGGCGGCAGCGACTCGGGCAAGAACGGAGTGCATACGTCACGAAGGCGGGCGAAGCGGCTCGTGCTGTCAAAGTCGCTCTTCACCTGCGCAAAGTTCTCCGGCTCTTCGAGCCACGCCTTCAGCTGCGCCGCCTCCTTGGCCGACTTCATCCTAACCACCGATGACGTCAGCCGACGGGGACGAAAAGAAAAGAGTGGTGACGTGTCGATAATGATCGTGGGTGGTGGACAAGAGACGAACCTGACGCAGGGTCCGCGGGTCATGCCGTTGGTGGTCACTACGGCGGTGGCGCCGCCTGAGACGGAGATGGCCTTGCAGCCCCGATGGGTGCTGGCCACGAGGCAGCCCTCTGTGGTGGCCATGGGCAGATGCACGTTCTCCCCGTTGAGCAGCATGGGTCCCGCCACGCCCACCGGGATGGGCACGTAGCCTGTGCGCACGCGCGGCGGTCAGCTCAGTGTTTAGCATCAAACACACGCGTGCGGGCGGAGCGACACGACACGACACACGAGTAGCGGCGGTGCAAGTGTGGGCGCCCGAAAGGGGTATGGTACCGATGACGTTCTCGCAGCAGCGGCCAAACACGGAGGAGTAGTCGAACTGCTCGAAGGGCAGCGGCTGCATGTTGAACCCGTCGCGCGCCAAATTGGACTCTATGGGCGCCAAAGAAAAGAAGTAGCGCAAGTAGTAGAAGTAGAAGGTGGTCGTGGTGAGTAGATGTCGGGCAAGCGTGAGAGGCAGAGGAAGAGAGAAAGATGGGCGCACCCAAGAGCAAACGCCTGATGCGAACGGCGCGTTCCATGTCGCCCAGCGTCTTCTCGAGCATGTAGGGCGGCAGCTTGCCCTGCTTGACGAGCTCCAGAATCTCGGCGTCGCTACGCTCGGGTAGCGGCGTGGTCTCGTCTGTCTTCTTGGCCTCCTCCTTCATGGGCGCCACCTCGAGCGTGGTGTCGAGCCTGCACGAGGGCTTTCTGTCTTCATTCGCCTGCTCATCTTCTCGTTGGGCAATCACCTCTTCGATCGAGACCTTGGCAGATTGCGCCGTTCCTCCATTTTCCGATTCCATGCTCTCCTTCATTTTGTGATTCCGCTTTCGCTTTTGAATGATCGGCCCGTCGCGATCGTTGTATGTGACATCTTCCACGGGAGCAATCGCGTCATTACCGGCCGACAGCAAGTTGTTGGCGAAGAGAGGGATGAGGAATTTAGGGGTATTGATGCTGAATCCCTGTGTACGATTTACCACGAGAGTTATTTGTTATTTATATATTTCAAAGCATCGTATATATATCTAATGGAGGGGGGATACCCATTTGTAGAGAGGACTGAAGTCGCGTATGGACATGGTGCCGACTGCGGTCTATGGGCTTTGATGGTTGGCACCAACTACACCGTCCGAGCTGGTTACGCGATCTTTGGCGCAAGATGTTTGGCGCGAGGAACGGGAGCAAATTTTGCAGCTTTGCGTCAGCTCCACCGAACCGATCGTGCTGCTGTTGGTGGCCTGCGTCAAAAATATATCCTATTATTCTTGACACGGAGTCAAGACCTCCACCACTCAGATCTTGGGCTCCGCGTAGTTGGCATGCCTCGCATATTTGAAAGTCTTGTGTTTTCTTGGCACCACAGCATTTTACGATCTTGTAGCGGGCGATTCGTGCAATCACTAGCTTCTGCCGAAGAGATGCGGTGCGAATACCTGTGGATTTGATTACTATTCCTTGCAACGCCGAAACACAATCTGCACCTGTTTCAATTTAATCTCATTTTTGTTGTGCAGAAGGCTGGGCCGAGGGGTGTGCCCTCTCCCGGTGGCGGGATGTAGGAGCCCCCTGCAACAACACACAACGAGCTCGCGAAACCTCTCTGTGCTGGCTTCTCCTGGGCTTTTCCCTCCCCGCCCGCCCTTCATCTTCTTTCGTCCGCCTTCTTCTTCTCCGCTTCTCGCGCCACGCTTCGCCTCCTCGCCGCTCACGCTGCCCCGACCGAGCCTCCTCGCCCAGTCCTGCCGCCTCTTCGTCTCCTCCGCCGGCGACCACGACGCTGCGACGCCTGCAGCGCCGGCCGAGCAGGAGGCAAGCATGCCGAGGGACTCAGGGCTGGTGCTGTCGGACTACGTGCGCGCGCTCGAGCCGCTGGTCGAAAAGCTGCCCACTCGGCGGAAGGCGCCGAAGGAGGTATGGGTCGATCCCATGTCCTGGGACGAACGCTTCGAGCAGCTCCTCGCCTACCGCCGCGAGTGCGCACTCCCCACAGCCCCACCGCACACTCGCTTTCTCCTCTGCGCGCTTTACTTTCGTGTCGGCGTGTGTCGTTGGTCGTGTTGTGCGTGTGCGTGTCGTGTCGTGCGCTCTGGTCGATGGGCTGATCCGGCTTCATCTCTCCGCCCCGCAGGATGGATGACTTCTCGCCACCCTTCAAGTCGGATCACTTTCCTGGGGTCGGTGATCACCTCCTCTGTCCGCCCCTCGCAGGATGTGATGAGCTCACGCGCCTTCGCCTTCACTGTATTTGCCGTACTTGCGGTGATGTGTGTCGTGTGCGTGTCGTGCGTGCCATGCATGTGTGTGTGTGGCGTCTGCAGTTAGGACAGTGGCTGGCGAAGCAGCTGAGCCATCAGTATCTGGGGAAGCTGGACAAGGAGAAGGAAGCCCGGCTCGCTGCCATCGGAGTGCCGTGGCTCGAGTTCAGGGGCCGGCAAAGAAGACACTGGTGGGAGCAATACGAGGTCCTCCTCCACAGCGACCACCTTTGCCGCGATTCCCGTGGTCGCTTACCGACGACATCGTGTCGTATATTGGGTGTCGTGTCGCCTCGTGTCGTGCGTTGTGCGGATGGTGTACAGGAGCTGCGTCAGTTCTACAAGCGCTTCAGGCACTCGCGCGTACCGACCATGTGGGAGGAGAACCTCCGCCTGTCGAGGTGGGTCAAGGATCAGCGCGCCCTCTTTTGCGCCCGGCGGCTGAGCTTCGAGCAGATCCACGCCCTCGAGCAGCTCAAGTTTGACTGGAAGATCACGTACGCTACGTCGTCAGCTGCCATTCGCTTTCGTTCTTTCGTTCTTTCTATACCCTACCATATTCGTGCGAATGGCGGTAATGACGGTGGTGCCGATGGGCGTCGGCAGGACGTGGGCCTGGACCAGGAATTTCAAGGAGCTGCGCAACTTCAAGTCGAGATACGGCCACATGTACGTCTATCGATGGAAGCCTGCCCACGCCGAAACAGTACGTGCCCCACACTGGAGCTGAAGTCGTTCCTTACGCCAGCCAACCGATTCTTCTTCTTCTTCTTCTTCTTCGACAGGTAATTGCCAAGTGGTTGAAGTCGCCGGACGGAAGGGCCGCCCGCAGGCGCTTCAGACGGGAACTCCAGGGTACCGTGTCCGTCTGCCCTCTCCGCCGGTTCAGTTGCGCTGATCGTCGATTGTGAGCTCATCATCGTCGCCATGACTCGGGCGGCTTCTTTGTTTCCGCAGACGCCGAGAAGGCCGCTGCCGAGGGCAAGAAGGAGGAGCAAAGCAAAGACGACCGACGGTGGCTCAGCGACGACTATGAAGACGAAGACGACGAAGGCGACGAGGAGAACGAAAACGAAAGTGAAGACGAAGGTGGCGATCGTGATCAGGATATTGTTGACTATCGCGGGTCGTGGGAGGAGCTTATCCCCGCCAACGAGACGGCCGAGGCCCTGCGCGATCCGCGCTTCGACGAGTTCCACCGCCTGCCCTACAGCCACGAGGAGGCGACCGGCGCGGCGCACCAAGTCGACGACCTGTGGGAGCTCTCGTCCGAGCAGCGGGAGAAGGAGCGCGCGCTCGACGAGCAGCTGCGGCAGCGCGAGCTGAACCGGGAGAGGGCGCGCGTGCGTGCTCTGCAGCACTGGGTGACGTTCCAGCAGAAGCTCCACCGGCGCGGCCAGCTCAAGCAGGTGCGCGCGGACATCCTGCGCGAGGTCGGCTTCGACTTTGGGCTCCAGCGGCAACTCAAGGTCAACGACGAGAACAGCTCCTGGTGGCGCCATTACAGCCAGCTGGCCGCGATCCGCAAGGACAACCCGAAGCTGCTGCATCTGCGGCGCGACGCGCCCATGCTCTACCGCTGGCTCGCCAACGCCCGCTACCGCCACTCCCGCGTAAGATCCCCGCCCTCAAACTAAATTCGTATTTGTATCTAAATTGCAATGCGTTGTTGCATTGTAACTGGCTGTGTCTGTCAGGGCACGCTCTCGTCCAAGCAAAGGGCGGCGCTGGAGGAGGCGGGCCTGCTCGAAACGGGGAAGAACTCCTTGTACGTACTTCCGGCCAGCTGCCTGTGCTGACGTGTCATCGACAGCTTCAGCTCACCCGTCCCGCTCTCCTCCCTCCCTTGGCCGCCAGCCCTCGCATTCTGGCGCAGCTGCAGGAGTTTCACCGCGAGCACGGCCATTTCCGAGTCCCGGCGAAGGCTGGTCCACTCGGGCGGTACGACTCCCGCTCTTCCCGTCAACGCCCTTCTCTCGAAGCACTCGTTTTGCTTGATCGTTGGTTCTTGGTCGGTTGTGTGTCGTTGGTTGGTTGGTTGGTTCCACAATCCCCTCACCACCCGTTGTTATTTGCGTGCGGTGGTGCATTCACCAGCTGGGCCGCGGGGCAGCGCTACGAGAAGCGCCACGGCCGAATGCTTCCAGAGCGGGAGCGCGCGCTCGATGACATTGGCTTCGACTGGGGCCGACCACCTAAGGCCGCCACCACACCTCGCACAGAAAACCAAAAAGAAAACCACGAAATAAATTAAGCTTCGAGAAAACAAAAACGCGAGAGAAACAAGCCGAGAGAAAATATAAAAATAATCAGACGTGGCGAGAGCCCATCTTTGACGGTAGAGCGGAAACACCAGCCCCTCCCAAGGCAGCAGGACCACTCATGTTGCCGACTCACGTGCGAAGGGGCGGCGGCCAGCGGGGCGTGTGGGGCCGCAGCGGCGGAGGTGGTGGGAGCTGGTGGGGGCGGGGCCGCGGGTGGTGGGTGACGTGGGGTCTCGGGTGCCTCGTCCTCTTCACCCTCGCCGCGCCCCTCTTCTTCCTCGACCTGAGCCAGGAGAGCCGAGCGCGCCTTGGTACGTCCTCCTCGTTCTCCTCGCTGCCCCCGTTCGTGCGCGTCGCCACCACCCACGCCTCGGCCGGCACCACCTCTACCTCTACCACCACCTCTACCACCTCTTCTTCTTCTTCTTCTTCCAGCTCTCTACGCGGCTCGTCGCCGCTGCCACGTCGTCACGTCGTCGACGACAGCAACGACGAGGACCTCGCGCTACTTCGTCGCGCAGAAGAGCACGCCAGTGAAGACGAGAATGTAGTAGCAGAGGAGGAGGAGGAGCATGAGGAAGTGGTGGAAAGTGAAGAAAAAGAAGAAGATGAAGTGGAGGAGGAAGTGGAAGTGGAGGAGGCCTACCACGAGCCTGCGACTCGGCAGCGGCGGGCGACAGCGAGCGAAGAGGAGGAGGAGATCGAAGAAGAAGAAGAAGAAGACGAGTCGGAGAGGGAGGAGGGCGAGCGACGGAGGCTCGAGCTGGGCGGAGGGCCGGCGGCCACGCGCGATCATCGCACGCGCGCCCCGCCCACACCGAGCGAAGAGGAGGAGGCGAGGACGCGGAGTACGAGGAAGACGAGAACAACGATGGCGCCGACGAGAATGCCGACGACGACGTAGAGGACGAAGCCGCCGCCGCGGCCGCCGACGACGACGAGGAGGAGACGGGAGTGGAAGGTGATGGAAATGACGAGGATGCTGAGAATGTCGATGGCAGCAACGACGTAGCGGGCGAGCCTGCCGGCGACGAAGCCGCCGCAACGGAAGAGGAGGAGCAAAACGAGGAGGAGCACGACGAGGGCCAGGAGGCCGCGAGCGAAGGCGCGGCGGAGGAGGACCAAGTCGACGACGAGGAGGAAGACGACGACAGCGACGCGGAGGGAGGAGCCGACGCCAGCGACGAGCCGGCGGCGGAAACGGAGGAAGACGCGGCGGGAGGGGCAGATGCCGAAGAGCCGGCGGAGGACGAGAGCGAGGGCAATGACGAAGTGCTCGAGCCTGAAGAAGAAGAAGACGACGACGAAGCCGATGCCGGGTCGGACGAGGAATCAGGACCCGAAGGAGGAGAAGAAGAGGGAGCGGATGCAGAAGAAGGCGGTGACGACGAGGTGGCGGGCGAAGAGAGTGAGGGCGAGGAGGAGACGAGGGTGCAGCAGGTGGAAGAAGAAGAAGAAGAAGAAGAAGACGCCCCGGAAGGCGGAGAAGAGGAGGAAAACCGGGAGAACGAAGACGACAACCAGGAGGAGGAGGAGCAGGAGGAAGAGGAGGAGGAGGAGGAGGAGGTGGAGGAGGAAGTGGAGGAGGAGGTCCACCGGCGTGGAGGCGACGCAGAAGAAGGTACGGACTACGCCCACACCACAGCCCCAGCGCTCGAGTGCCGCGACACGTTCGCCGTATGTCGTGTCGTGTCGTGTCGTGTCGTGTCGTGTCGTGTCGTGTCGTGTCGTGTCGTGTCGTGTCGTGTCGTGTCGTGTCGTGTCGTGTCGTGTCGTGTCGTGTCGTGTCGTGTCGTGTCGTGTCGTGTGTATATAATCGCTTCTGTACCGCACTCACTCTCTTTGGGCGGTTGCAGATTATCGCTCCATATATAAGTTGTATATCTCCATAGCCCATGCGTGCCTGCCTCTGCATATCCATATAAGCCGGACCGCAGCCATATCCGTCGCCCCTCCGCCATCTAGCCACCCATCTACATCCATCCACACAGCCGCGCATCTACTATCCATCGCGCACCTCTCCAGCTTCTGTCTACCTATTATGATAGAACATTGCGTGCAATGTGGTCCGTGTGTGCTGACATAGTGTGTTGCACGCGACGCGGTGGTCTATCGTCGATGTTTCTGGGGTGCGTGCGTGCGGGCGAGCAGGGAACCCGCAGGGGGAGGCGCCACCAGGGAGCGTGGAAGACGTCGAGCAGCCGCGCCGCCGCCGCCGCTGCAACATGAAAAGGAGGAGGAAGAGCATAAGCAGAGACCCAACACTAAGCAACAGAACCAGGAGCCGGAGCCGCACCGGGAGGGCGAACCCGCGCCGAAGGACGACGACGGGGAGGAGGCGGAGGCGGAAGAGGAAACGCGCCCGCAGCAGCAGCAGCAGCAGCAGCAGCATCTGGAGGAGGGCAGCGCGGATGACGAGATCGAGAACGAGAAGCGACGGGAGGCCGTGAAGGGCGCCTTCCTCCACGCGTGGAACTCCTACGTACGCCACGCGTGGGGCTTCGACGAACTCCAGGTACGCGCCATCATCGCCGCCAACATTGCTTCACCTCGTTCAACTTTCATCTATTGACGCTGTCCCTGTATCGTGTGTGTGTCGTGTCGTGTGTCGTGTGTGTGTCGTGTGTGTCGTGTGTAAAACGCAGCCCCTGTCGCGTTCGGGCAAGGACTGGCTGGGGCAGGGCATCACCATCCTCGACTCGCTGGACACCCTCCTCATCATGGGGCTCGACCACGAATTCCAGCGCGCCCGCGCCTGGGTGCGCGACAGCCTCCGCTGGGACGACAAGGTGATTCCCCCCCCCAACGGCTCTCGCAAGGCGAGCGCTCACCCCCTCCCCCCTCCCCCCATGTGTCGTTGGTCGTGTCGTGTCGTGTCGTGCGCAGGAGCGGATGGTGTCGACGTTCGAGACAACGATCAGGAATCTCGGAGGCCTGCTGTCGGCCTACGGCCTGACGGGCGACGAATTGTTCCTGGAGAAGGCCAAGGACCTGGGCTCGCGCCTCTTGCGCGCCTTCCAGGCCGACGACCTCATGCCCAAGGCCGCCGTCGGCCTCGTCTCGTACGCCCCCTCCCCCAAAGACATTCCTGAGATATCTCTCTGGTGGTGCGCTCACTCAGCCGTGGGCGCCTGGTGTCGGCCGACAATTTGTGGAATGTGTCACACAGGGGGCGTGGCAAGAATCCGTCGTGGACGGGCGGGAAGGCCATCCTATCGGAGGTGGGCTCCATCCAGATGGAGTTCCTCTACCTGGCCAAGGCCGCCCGCAACGCCTCCTTCGCCGAGAAGCCGTCCGGGGTGATGGACGTGCTGGACCAGCAGGGCAAGATCAACGGCCTCTACCCCATCTACCTCGACGGCCACTCCGGCAAGCTCTCCACCTCCTGTACGCCCCCCCCCCTCTCCCTCTTCTCTCTTCTCTCTCGCTTTCTTCTTCTCTCTTCTTCTTCTCTGTCGCTTTCGCTTTCGTTCTTCTAGTGGATGATGCCGATCGGCTTACGTTTGCGTGTGGGTGGTCGTCCACTGCAGCCAAGGTGACGTTGGGCGCGCTGGGGGACAGCTTCTTTGAATACCTCCTCAAGCTGTGGCTCCTGGCGGACAAGCGCATCCCCAAGTACCAGCGCATGTACGACGAAGCCGCGCGCGGCGTCCTTCAGCACATGACCGCCCACTCCGTACGCGCTCCATTTTTCCACGCCATCACCGCCTCTTCAAACAAACAAACAAACAAACAAACAAACCAACCAACCAACCAACCAACCAACCAACCAACCAACCAACCAACCAACCAACCAACCAACCAACCAAAAACCCCAACTAACCGGCTAGCGGAGCAGGAGCCCAACAAGTTCACGTACCTGGCCGAGCTCCACAGCCCTCAGAACGGCGGCAAGATGCCCCGCATGGACCACCTCGTATAGCCCCTCTTTTCCGCGAAGCGAAGCGCTGGAGCTGGAGCTGGAGCTGAACGTATGCGTGGCGTGCGTGTGCGTGCAGGTGTGTTTCGCGGGCGGCATGTTCGCGTTGGGGGCGGCGCAGAAGGCGCACGGGGCTCTTCCGGAAGACAACGCGCCGTTCATGGAGCTGGGCGAGCAGCTCACCGCCACGTGCCACGAAACCTACAAGCGCAGCCCTTCCGGTACGTGCTGGGTCCCCTTGCTTGTGGTCTACGGAAAGAATGTCAAGAACGCCACTGTGTAGACTGACCCGTCGTCGTGGTCGTGGTCGTGGTCGGCTTGTGCCATTGCACAGGCATTGGGCCGGAGGTGATCGAGTTCAATCCGCGCAACGGCGACGACTTTTCGCCTGCCCAGAATGCCTACCTCCTCCGCCCTGGTACTTACTCCTTCGTCTCCTCCTTTGTTTGTGCCTCCACAGCCCTCGAACTCGAGACCCACGCGCGTGTGCGTGTGCGTGTCGTGCGACGACAGAAACGGTGGAGAGCTACTTCATTCTGTGGCGGCTCACCCACGACCGACGCTATCGAGAGTGGGGCTGGGAGGCCTTCCAGGCCATCGAAAGACACTGCCGCCACCACGTCGGCTACGCCGGCCTCAGGCACGCCATCCCCCTCCCCCTCTCCAACCACAACCACAACCACAAAGCAATTGCAATTGACCGCGGTAAGGAGTTGTAACTAATGATTAGTTCGCCGATATAACTAACATAACAACAATGCAGGGACGTGGACTCGAGCACGCCGGAGAAGGACGACACGCAGCAGAGCTTCTTCCTGGCGGAGACGCTGAAGTACCTCTTCCTCCTGTTCAGCGACGACGACGTCATCCCGCTCGACCAATACGTCTTCAACACGGAGGCCCACCCGCTGCCCATCTTCAAGGACTCCTTCGCCGACTGGAAGGGCTTCACCGGCAGCCGCCGCTTCGAATGATCGGCGTTGCACTGCGACGACTCTAAACATTTACGTACATGCATTTGAACAAAAATTAAATATATTGATATGTAAGTGGGCACAGGACACTATATAGTGTAGCTGTGTTGTGTGTGTGTGGTTTCTCATTTAGCGGGCAAAGCGGACGCCGTCGAACTGGCCCTGCCGGGCCTGCTGGAGGGCGATGTGGGAGTAGACCTTGACCTCGCGCGGTCGCACGTTGCGGTTGGCCTTGACGAAGATCGTTTCGTGCACGCCCGGCTCGATGCCGTAGTAGGCGCCCCGCCAGTTGGGGTCCTGGTTGGCGTTGCAGCCGCGCTGGACCCGGAAGTCCCACCCGCGGGTGGCGACGGCCATGGACCCGATGTTCCAGCCGTTGGCCAGCAACTTCATGCTCAGCGCGATCTCGCCCATATTGATCGCCTGGTTCATCGTCTTCTTGCACGTCACCACATCCGTCTTGTCGATCAAATACTCGAGCGCCTCCTATCATTGCAAACCATCACAGTTGCCCCTTTGCTCAGTCACCCACTCACCCAGCACACGACACAACCAACGACACGACACGCACCACCGCACACGGCACACGGCATACAACACACACAAGAAAGAGCCGAGGTGGAATTACGTAATCGGTGACCCAGAGCATGCTCTGCACGTGGGGCCGGTGGAGGTGGCAGTTGATGGTCATGCCGACGAGCTTGATGGGTCCGTTGTTGTCGCCATAGCCGTCGCCGGACTCGCGGATGAGTTGGGTGAAGAGGGTGGTCCAGTGGATGGCGCGGGGCACGTAGAGGGGCACGTAGGGGCCGCGCACGGACGAGTTGAGGAAGACGAAGTAGCGGTAGCCTCGCCCCCGCCACCCGATCCAATCCAGGCCGTACCGCCACCCGCCAAAGTCCAGACATTCGTTCTCCTTCGCCAGAACCAGCACGTTCCTCATCTTCGGAAACTGGTTTATAAAAAGACATAAAAATGTGTGAATAATAAGTTGTTTAAACTGAATTCAAAAAAACTGAACAAATAAAATAAAAGCGAAAGCGAAGGGAAGAACGAAGGAGGAGAGGGGGGCGGCGTACGCGAACGGTGCAGGGACCCTGAAGCACGATTACGTAGTCCACGTCGTCCCGCTCTTGTACGCCGACGTCGAGGAAGAACTGCAGGTTGTCCTTGTAGAGTTGGTTCTTTTCGAAGTACACGTACATCACCAGCGTCTTGTTGTTGTTGCGGTAGTCTTGCACCTCCCCCGCCCACTGCTGCCCCGCCCGCACGTCGTCTGCGTTTGGCGTCCACTCCGGCCTCACGGATGAAGATGATATATAGTCGGGCTCCGCGGCGGCGTGGAAGAAGAAGAGGTAGAGGAAGAGGACGGAGACCAGCCACAGACCCCACAGCGTGGCGGCGACCTTGCCCCAGCGCACGGCGCCCTGCTGCCGCATCCATCCGCCCCAGTCAGTGTAGCCCCCCCGACGGTCTGTGTTCATCTTCGCCGCAGCAGCACTCGTTCATCGTTGCTGCTGCTATTGTTGCTCTTCTTCTTCTTCTTTGCCGTTTGTCCTCGCCTCGTCTTCTCCGTTCTTTTGCCCAGCACCCAACCTTTGCATCTTGAACGTTTTATTCGAAATTCCAAGGACAGACGAGCTTCCAGGACACGGCGTACTAAGTTGTTGCCGTCACTGCGCGCTACACCAGCCACCAAGGACAACTTCCCCACCCTGGCGCCCGGCCTCTACAAGGTGCGGACCAGACCCCGATCCAGAGCTGACAGTTACAGGTCCGGGGCTTCGCGTTCGTTCTCTTCCTCCTCCTCCGTCGCCGCTAATACTGGTGCGGCCTGTCGGCTCTTCTTTCGCGACTTCTCCTCCTCATCGCCTTGTGCGGGCTCTTCGGCGAGTGTCCAGGGCTCGTGGCGCATTTCCTGCACACGATGTGCGAAGGGAATCCGTGAGAACGGTGAGCTGTGTGTTGTGTGTGTGGTGTGCACTTGCCACAACCCTTTTCTCGCTCCGTCTCCGCAACCGTCTTCGCAGGGATCTCAATGTGTGCTGTGTGTCGTGTGTGTGTCGTGTGTGTTGTGTGTGTGTACCAGTATGTTGTGGACGTAGAACTCCTTTTCGCCGTCCGTGTAGCCGCACAAGCCGACGAAGAGGGACTTGGCTGTGTGGGGCTGCCAGCGGAGGGGCTTCACAAGGCGCGGCTTCCGCTCGTGCGATCCGCCCTTGTAGCTGATCCACAGCCCGCGGCCCTCCTGCATCGCCGCCGCCACCTCCCTCCCCGCCTCTGATCGCACCTGCGACGCCCCCACCCCCATCCACCAAATACGAATGAGCCCCTTGGATCTATGTCGTATGTGTGTCGTACGTGTGTCGTGTGTCGTGTGCGGTGTGTGCCTTGTATTCGGTGGTTACCTCGTCCTCGTGGGAAAGGCCCAGGTTGGCAACGATGGCTGGGTCATCGGGCTCGTAGATAGTCTCCCTGTTGGAATGCAGGCGGGTTAGCGCCACCGAAGGAAGCAACACGTTTGGATTGCGATCAGTGTCGGCACAGTTCGTGTGAAGAATGCGACACGACACGACACGCGCCACGCGACACACGGGAGACGAACGTACTTGGGGGTGACGAGCGAGGAGGTGTCCTCGGGCCTGCAGCCTGCCACGAACTCGGTGAGGTCGTCAATGCGGAGGATATCCTCCCCGTTGGAGAAGGTGATCACGTTCTTCAGGCCCAGCTGGATCGCGCGCCGGTTCTTCAGCGGCGCACCGCTCGGGTGGTGGTCTACGCAATCCGTGTGAGTCAGTGTGTGTGTGGTGTGTGGTGTGTGGTGTGTGGTGTGTGGTGTGTGGTGTGTGGTGTGTGGTGTGTGGTGTGTGGTGTGTGGTGTGTGGTGTGTGGTGTGTGGTGTGTGGTGTGTGGTGTGCGTGCGTCATTACCGGGGTCCCACTGGAGCCTCACAACTGAGCCGTCGCGTTGGTGGCCGCCCTTCTTGCACGCAATGGAAATGTATCGGTCGAAGGCCTCCCTCTTCAGCCTGCCGTGGCCCAACAAAGACACACACCACCCATTAGAACGTCGTTAAGTCCATCGTGCCTGGCATTCCATGGAATGAATGGAATCACCCTGCATACCAGATGCCCAGGGTCATCTCTTGGTTCTTCTTGCCGCCCCACCCGCTCCTACACAGGACACACAGCACACACACAACACGACACACGCGTCAGTTTTCAGCGGTTGCACTGCAGCGGCATCTGACCGGTCAAGCGCACCGGAACATCATCCAGAGGAAGTTGGTCTTGATCCAGGTCATGCGCGTGGGCGAGTAGGCCTCACAGCCCGTGAACCGCTGATTGGCCACCGCGTACCGCCCGATCTCCGGCTTGAACGCCTGGTAGACCAGTATCGCCTCCGCTACGCGCGCGCGCATCGTGGCAGGGCCACCCAGTGTCAATCGGCCACGTTGCAACGTAGAGAAGAGACATATAGAGAGAAGCTCCATTCGGAGGGGGGGGGATGGTACGTGTGTACTGGGCCAGGATGAACTTGCCGAAGCGGGGCCATCGCTTCTTCTGGTCCGGGTAGGCCTCGGTCTCGAGGCGATGCCGCAGCTTAGGCTTGCTTCTCGTGGTGTCCTCTGTGGTTGTGTTGCTCTCCTCCATGTCTGCTCTTCTGGTGTAAAAAAACCAAATGTATTTGACAACCTGTTGCCTGTCTAACATATTTCTCGAAACGTTTTCACCTCGCCTTGAAACAATGCGAAACAGCCGTGCCAGCCAAGAATGTAAGGAATGGAGTGTTGGTGCAACGACAAATGCCACGGCAACAACCACCTGGGTACAGCCGTCGCAGATACAGCTGAAGAAGGTGACGTACCTCGCACCGCCGTCATATACTTTGGATGCAGGGGCGCAGCCACTCGATGGCCGATGGCCTGACGTCGCTCCTGCGGCCCCGCGCCCCCTCTTCAACACCTCCGCCGGCAGCGGCCGGTGGCGGTGGCCAGCCCGCAACTGGGGGGTCCGCCATACACGCCCCGCGCACCCGGGCCTCTATGATGAAGCGGAAGGAGTCCTTCCTCCTCATGCTCAGGTCCTCTTCCACGCGCAGCACCTCCTCCGTCACCTCGACTTCAGCCTCGTCGCTTTCCTCTTCGCCCTCCACGGTTTCGTCTTGTGCCTCGTCGCCGAGCCTCGTGGGTGCCAACCACCACAACAACAAGTCGCTGTGGATCTCCGCCGGGTCGTCGTGGGACGACTTTGCCACGGCCGCGGCCTTCCTCTCGTCCTCCTCGTCCGACGAAGACGACGACCAGGACCAAAGGTTAGTTACCCCCCCCCTCCACTATCTCGTTCGTCTTCGTCTTCGTTTTTCGTTTCATTTTTTTACATTTGTGCTTGCTGGCCGGCGCGGTGGCCAGTTACTGGGACCCGTCGTGGGTGGACGACGACAACGAGGCCGACAACAGGCGGCGCTGGGAGGAAGAGGAGCGACGTCGGGAGGAGGAGTGGAGCCGCCGGTACGAGGAGAGGAAGCGGCAGGAGACCCTCGCCTTCGAGACCTGGAGCCGACGGTGGGACGCGCGCAAGAAGCGGCTCACCCTCCGCCGCACCGTGGCCCTGGGCAAGGGCGTTATCGAAGCCCTCGGCATCGGCTCGTCGAGCAGCGGCACACATCACCATCAGCACCACGACTCGTTCCGGCGTCATCGCAGCCGCGACGAAGGCCGGCGCAGCAAAGACAGCACCGACGCCAAGGCAGGTGAGCGCGGCCATTCCCCGCTGTGGTCGCGGAGGAGCACCGTGGACAGTGTGGGCGCGGCTGTGACGATGGGCAGCGGCGAGTCGCCGCGCACGCCGGTCGGTCCGCCACGCTTGGCCTCCACGCCGCTGGCCCCGGCCCCGGTGGCGGCTCCTCGCGAAGAGGCCAAGACGGGCAAGGCGGGCAAGACGAAGAGTTCGAAGAAGTTGGCGGCGCGACACGCGAGCGCGGAGGATTGTGGGGTGGAGATGTACGGCACCGGCCAACACGCACCGCGGAAGCCGGCGGAGGATCATCGCAGAACAACCGGCGTATCGCTGGGCCAGCTGATCCGCGATGATGAAGGCAAAGAGGAGGAAGAGGAGGAAGAAGACGGTGGTGATGGTAATCATGGAGAAGACGATGATGGCGATAACAATGAAGAGGAGGAGGAGGCGTGGGCGAGGGAGGTGGAGGACGCGGAGAAGCGGATCGAGAAGAGTAACCGACGGGGCGATAAGGAGGGCGTGCAGCGGCGGGAACAGTTCCTGAGCAGCCGCCGGAGCCTGACGTCGAGCGAGAAGCAGAGCCTGTTCGACGAGTACTTCTACAACGAGGAGCAGATCTGGCGCAGCCGCGGCCTGCGCCTCCTCACCGCCAGCGCGTCGGCCAAGGAAAAGAACGAAGACCGCCTCCCTCCCCGCGATGACAACGAGGACGACGGAGACCAGGCCGGCCCCGATGATGGCCGGTCTCCTGTCCGCCAAGCGCCGTCTTCGCTGGGAGTCGATGCCGAGGCCGATGCCACGTCATCACGATCGATGGCCGCGAAGCACGGGGAGGGCGATGACGAGGTCTCGCCCAAGAAACGAGTGAAGAAGGCGAAGAAAAAAACGAAGACAAAGAAAACGAAGGAGTCTCTCGGAAAGAGCAAGAAGGCGCCCAAGGAATCCACGCCGGTCAAGCCGAAAGTGCCGGAAGGCGAGTCGCCGCGCGGTCGAGGAGGCAGCATCGCGTTCCAGCTGCGCCAGAACCAGGTACTTCGGCTCAGCGTTGCCGGCACGCGGAGGGACGCCGAACAGCTGCCCACAACGACGGCCGACGCGTCTGGCGTGGAGAGCGCCGTCGATAAGAATGATGACGACGACGACCATGACGACGACGATCGTGATGACGAAAACAATGTAGACAATGGAGAGGAGGAGCGAACGCGGCTCGTCACGAGCGGGGAGCGAAGAGCGCGGCGGGAGGCGCGGCGGAAGGAGCGAAGCCTGCGCGAGGAGAAGGCCGACCTGCGACGCCAGCGCGAGATGGAGGAGCGCGCCCGCCTCCTGCTCGAACTCGGCATCAGCCCGCGAGGCGCCCGAAGCCACCAAAACGACGACGCCAAGGGCAAGAGCAAGGCCGAGAGCGGCAGCGGCGACGACGGCGAACACGAAGAGCCGGCGGCGAAGGAGAAGAAGGGCAGCACGCGGCGGCGGAGCGTGAGCGTGGCCGAGAGCCAGAGCAAGTCGCACACGATCCCATCGCGCGGCACAGGTCCGGCGGCTATGAAGAAGAAGCGGTGGAGCCTTATCGCGTCCAAGGGCGCTTCCCTCGGCTCCGCCAAGACCGACGTGGGACCCTCCTCCTCGCGTGGCGGAGGCGGCGCGGGTCTCCTCCGCAAGACGGACTCGTCCGACGCGGCCGATGAGAGGAAGGCCCGGCGCGCGAGCGTGCGGCTCATGAACCTATTCACCATCAAGGACAAGGCCAACACCAATAACGGCGGCGGCGGTGGTGGCGGGGCGTCGAGGGGTTCGTGGCTGCTGCGGAGTCCGCGATCGCCGCGCACGTCCGAGGCGGAGGAGAGGAAGAAGAGGGAGAAGAAGGAGGCCAAGAGGAGCAGAAAGGAAGAGGCCCGGAATGCGAAGAAGGCGGCGAAGCAGCAGCAGCGCCAACGACAGCGCCCGGAGGGGGCCGAGGCTGAGACCGAGGCGGGCTCAAGGCCGTGGTATCGGCACCGCCGATCGGCGTCCATGAACGCCCTCGTCGGCATGCTCTCCAAGGACCGACGCAAGCCCGCCACCACCACCACCAAGGAATGAGAGATCAACGCGCGCACGCACATGTACCTTACCACACCACACATGCATAATCACAAACACAAGCATCGGAGGGGGGGGGTTCTAGGAGGGTGGGCGATGGCTAAACACACGTGTTTGGTCGCGCGTGGCCCGCGAGTACATTATTACGCACGGCGGTGCTTCGATATGTGTCGGCTTCCTCCCCGAAGGACTTCACACGGGGGCGCCCTTTCTCTGTTGTTCGCCGATGTGAGTGGCGTGTCAGCGTCAGCTCTTCTCTCTCGATGGGCGAACATTAAGTGGGGGGGGGGTAACGAGTACCACCGGGGCAGTGGCGCACTGCTTGAAGGCGCGGGCCTTGGCGGCGCAGGCAAGCGGGTCGTCGGTCTCCTTCGCGTAGCACTCCAGGCACGCGCTCCTCTCCGCTTCGCAGCTGTCCTCGGACGCCCTGCTCCGGCGAACACACACCACACACCACACCACACCACACACCACACACACTCAACGTCGGTTCTTGCAGCACGCAAAGGGGCCACGGGCGAGTGCCAGGCACTGGTGACGTACCTTCGGTGGCGGGTCATGGCATCGAGGAGGCCGCGCAGCTTGTGGAGCTGCTCCACCTCGGTCGCGCTGATCTTCTCCTGCTCCGCGCGGAAGCGCTGGCGCACCTCGGCCACCTCCTGCTGCGCGAACTCGCGGTCGGCCTGCGACACGCCGCCGGCGCGTCGCGCGGGCACCACCACCGACGTGGACGCCTCGCCGGCGCCATGACGCACCTCCTCCTCTACGTCGTCGTCGCCCAAGAGCAGCGGGAGCGGCGTGGAGAAGGCGATGCTGTCGAGCTCCTCTTCGGACAGCGGCGGCGGCAGCGCTTCGTCGACGTCCAGCTCGAGCGCGGCCTCGTCGAAGCGTTGCTGCTGCTCCTGCTTCTCCCGCTGCTGCTGCTGGGGCCGCCTAGCTGCCGCGCCGCCACTCTGTCGCTGCTGCAGCCGCCGCACCAGACGTGGACCCAGCTGCGAGAGACGGGTCAGGTCAAAGATGAATGATGACGTAGGGGATGATGATCGGAGGGGGATTTGTAGCTACTGCAGGGGCACCGGGGGGGGGGGTACGTGAACGGAGACGGAGGCCTCTTCCTCCTCATCTTCGGCCCAGTTGGCTGCGGTGGGCTGCTCGTACTCGTGCTGGAAGTGGTCCTCCCAGTCCTCCGCTTCCTCGTGTGGCCGTGACGATGCCGCTCCCATGATATGATCCGCTGATTTCCAGGTGCCGGCGATTTGTTTTGTCTGATCTCTTGCCTGCCAACGTTTTCTTTTTTCTTTTTTAGAATAATATAATTATAATTAACAAATGGACGCACATTTGCTGCGGCTGCAGTTTGTCAGGGGTCCGCGCACGTGCCTGCATTCAGGTGAAGATGTGGACTTCATCCTCACCGGTACACTCATCCAAATCTCTTCAAGCAGCCCCCTACGCTCACGTTCTTTCCTGCGTGGCTGTGGCGTAGTGACGGACGACCTCGGGGCGGAGGTCTACTTCGGGGACCTCCCGCTGCCTCTCGCCGTGCGCGCCCAGTGCCGCGTCCTCGACCGCTGGCACCCGCTCCCGACCGCCGCCTTCGCCCTCAAGACCGGTTCGCCCGCCATCTCTCCTCTGCCCCCGCCCTATGCGCTCATCGAACGCGCGGTGTGTGCGGTGTGTCATGATTATCGTGTGCGTGTGCGTGGTAGAGTGCAGAGAAGGAGCTGAGCCCGTTCATTGCGGGGCGAGGCCAGGCGGTGGAGGGTCGGTTCACGGACGAGCTGTGGCGCGAGTTGCGCGCCATCGAAGTCGCCCAGCCCGGCGCCCCGTCGGGTCCGGGCCGTCCAGCGGAGGTGCGGCTGCACATCAGCGTCGGCGAGCGAGACGGGCTCGGGTGGCGCGACGCCGCCCCCTTCTCCCGCTTTCGCCCCGCCCCGTGTCGTCGCCTGGCTCTCGCCCTGCCGCCCAGCGCCTCCCACCACCGCCGTAGCCGCGCCGGGCCGAGGAGCGCCAAGCGACGGAAGGCGGACGATCAACCGGCGCAGCCGACGGAAGTTGATGTGGAAGACCACGAAGACAAGACTGAAGAGAACGACGAGACTGAAGTAGAAGAAGAGGAGAAGAAGACTGAAGAAGAGGAGGAGGAGGGGAACGGGGAGGAGCAGTACGTGGTGCTGCCCCTCTTGTCGTGCACCATGACGGTCACGCGGCCGCCCTCCAATGTCAAGGGCCGGGGCAAGGACGTGAAGAGCATGCGGGTAGGAGGCGCGTCTACCACCAAGGCGGCCGGCCCTCCGCACGCGCTCGAGCGCTCCCGCACCATCGAACGCGAGGTGCCCCTCGACGGTGCGTAGGCCACCCTACACGCCCCTCTCTCCGGTGGTGGTTGCGGCGGCTTCACGGCCCTTGGCCTGCTGCTCACCGCGTTCGTGCGCGCGTGTGTAGATGGGAGCGGCCGATTCATCAGCGTGCGGGAGGAGTACGGCACCTTCCTGGGATCCCACCTCTGGTACCACTTCCGTCCTGGCTGTGACTGGGTGCTCGATCCCGCCACACTCCACGCGTGTGTTGACCACACACACACAGGGACGGCGCGCTGGCGTCGAGCTTCCTGCTGTGCCACATCAACGCCCTTTTCCCCGCCTTCTTGGCCGGCAAGCGGGTGCGTGCCCCCTGCACCATCCCCCAGGCGAGTGAGATCTCTGACCTTTGCCCGATTGAAATTGAATTGGTGCGCGCACAGGTGTTGGAGTTGGGCAGCGGGTGCGGTCTAATGGGACTCACGGCGGCCATGCTGGGCGCCCACGTCACCATGACCGACCTCGGCGAGGTCGTTCCCACACTCCGCGACAACGTGGAACGCAACATCGCCGAAGCTTCGTCTTTCGCTTCCTCTTCACCATCTTCTTCATCGTCTTTGTCATCTTCATCGTCGGCGACACGGTGCGGGAAGGTGGAGGCGCGAGAGCTCGACTGGACGGACGACGCGGCGCTGCGAAGGATCGGCGCGGAGACGGAGTGGGACCTGGTCGTGGCCTCCGACGTGATGTACAGCGACACGGTCTTCCGCCTCTTCTTCCACGCGCTCACCACCGTGCTCGGCCTCGAGTCAGCGGTCGGCGGAAGTCAACCGGTCGAGGGAGAGGCCCGGCGGCGGCGGCAGCGGCGGCGGGCGGTGCAGGTGGTGGTGGGCCACAAGGTGCGGTGCGAAGACGAGCGGGCCTACTTTGAGACCGTTCGGCGGGTGTTCGACGTGGTGCCGATCGGTCGGGCCTTCAACACCCGCGTGTACCTGTGGCAGCCTCGCCACGGCTAACACCAACAATCCAACAACAGCCACACCTAATCGGATGTATACTCTATATAAGTGCGCCGCGAGCAAGTTACATCGCGACATTGAACGTTCGAGTATGTGTGCGGCCGGGAAGACGTCGGTCGGTGGTGGGGCTCGTGCCGGTGGTTCGGGGTGGAAACGCCCACGAATACTTCGTGGCAGGCCTGTATTGGTGTCGACAGCCGCCGCGACTGATCTGCGGCCAGCGCACTCACCAATCGTACTTCTCATCCTTCGAGTTACAACCCCACTGAGCATCAAATGGCCACCATCACCGCTGTGCACGCTAGGCAGATCTTCGATAGCCGCGGCAACCCCACCGTTGAGGTCGACGTTACCACCGAGAAGGGCCTGTTCCGCGCTGCCGTGCCCTCTGGTGCCTCCACTGGCATCTACGAGGCCATCGAGCTCAGGGATGGCGACAAGTCCAAGTGGCTCGGCAAGGGTGTCACCAAGGTACGCGCGCAGGCGATTGTTCTCTCTCGCTCGAGTCACTACGCGATCGATTTGGCGATTGCCAGGGGCGTGTAGAATTCTAGATGTAGTGGCTGACCTGCTTTGTTGTTTGCTCGCGGGTCGGCTGTGCACAGGCCGTCTCGAACGTCAACGAGGTGATCGCCCCCAAGATCATCGGCAAGGACGTCACCAAGCAGGAGGAGCTCGACAACCTGCTGCTCGAGATCGACGGCACCGAGAACAAGGGCAACCTCGGGTACTCCTCCTCACATCTTCTTCGCGAGTAGTAGGGGTAGTAACCGTACGGCATCGCGCCTACAGAGCCAACGCCATCCTCGGCGTGTCGATGGCCGTGTGCAAGGCCGGCGCTGCCGTTAAGGGCGTGCCTCTGTACCGCCACATCGCCGACCTGGCCGGCAAGAAGGAGGCCGTCACGCTGCCCGTGCCCGCCTTCAACATCATCAACGGCGGCTCGCACGCCGGCAACAAGCTGGCCATGCAGGAGTTCATGATCCTCCCCGTCGGCGCCTCGTCCTTCACCGAGGCCATGCGCATGGGCGTCGAGGTGTACCACAACCTCAAGAACGTCATCAAGGAGAAGTACGGCCAGGACGCCACCAACGTCGGCGACGAGGGCGGCTTCGCCCCCAACATTCAGGGTAACGACGAGGGTCTCGAGCTCTGCAAGGTCGCCATTGAGAGGGGTACGGCATTTTCCCGCCTCGAGCTGTGTCGTGTACAGGCGCCTCACGGCCGAGTGAGCTCACCCTCGTGTGGGGGTGACGTGCAGCTGGCTACACCGGCAAGGTCAAGCTCGGCATGGACGTGGCCGCCTCTGAGTTCTACAAGGAGGGCAAGTACGACCTCGACTTCAAGAACCCCTCCAGCGACGCCAGCCAGGTACACATATTCGCCTCGTTCGCGCATGAGATCCTCGCTTGCATTCCCTTCCCTTTATTCACGTGCCGGCCTGCAGCACAAGACCGGCGCTGAGCTCGCCGAGCTGTACGCCTCGTTCACGCGCAACTACCCCGTCATCTCCATCGAGGATCCCTTCGACCAGGACGATTGGGAGTCCTACACCACGCTCACCGAGGCTCTCGGCAAGGTGCGCGCTCGTGGCTTCTCGTCCTGGTCGAGCTTCACTGGTCTAACCAGCCCTCCCATGATGGTGCAGGATGTGCAAATCGTGGGTGACGATCTCCTGGTGACGAACCCCAAGCGCATTGAGACCGCTCTGGAGAAGAAGGCCTGCAACGCGCTTCTCCTCAAGGTCAACCAGATCGGTTCCGTCACGGAGGCCATCAAGGCGTGCCTGGTCTCGCAGGCCGCCGGTTGGGGCGTGATGGTGTCGCACAGGAGCGGTGAGACCGAGGACACCTTCATCGCTGACCTCGTGGTCGGCCTCGGCACCGGCCAGATCAAGACCGGCGCCCCGTGCAGGTCCGAGAGGCTCGCCAAGTACAACCAGCTCCTCAGGATCGAGGAGGAGCTCGGCGCCTCCGCCAAGTACGCCGGCGAGGGCTTCAGGAACCCCCAGTAGTGAGCCCCAGGCAGGCAGCTCACAGGAGCCCTACACGCCCCTTCACCAGCACGACACACAAAAAAACAAACAATACAAAGGTCTGTCTCCTCACGGTGGGCTCTATTGGGCAAGAAGGGTACAAGTTTTATCGAATTGGAGAAGGCGGCAGGCGGGCTTCTTCACGAGGAGTGCGGGAGGATGACAACGGTCTTGACCTCGCCGTTGGCAAAGTAGGGCTTGGACTCGCCGTTCATGGGTCCACCGTTGGCCACGGCATCGGGCGATGACGCAGAGGTGATGTCGGGCGGGCCATCGGGTCCGTCGCTCCGCAGGCCGCATTCCGTCGTCAGCACCACGAACATGGCCGTCAAGAACGCGCTGTGAGACACCACGCCGATGCAATTCTCTGAGGTGGACACACAGTCGTGGTGAGCAGGCCAGCCAATTGACAGATGTGAGTGTGTGTGTTAAGGGGAGCTCACCTGAGCGTTGTCGCAGAACCTCTAGGAAAGCTTTGGCGCGCTGCAGGATGTCCTCGGTGGGCTCCCGGGCTTCGCTCCAGAGGCAATCGTCCTCGTCGAGGATGGCATCGAAGGAGAACTGCGGGAACTGGGGCTTGAGCTCCGACACCGTCCGTCGCTTGTCGCAGGGGTGGTGACCGATTCGCTCCCGCACGCCCTCGCACACCTCGAACCGTGGCTTGCCTTCGCTGCTGTCCATCAGCGGTTGGAAGACTTCCTCGGCTGTTTGCAGCGTTCGCGTGAGCGGCGACACCAGCACCACCTACGGGGAGTGGACGTTGAGATGGTCAGCCCTTGTTTGTTCGCCGTCGTCACACCAATGCAAGGTGAGAACATACCTGCGGCTTCATTTGGGCCAGCACGACCTTCTGGGCTTCTCTGGCTTGGCCTCTTCCCTTTTCTGTCAAGGGCGCGTCGAGATAGGCCCACTGCAGTCATGAGGCGAAAAAGCAGATCAGTGGCGAGTTCAACAACAACAACAGCTGCAGCCACACATCTCTGCTCTGCGCCAGTGCGTACGTTGCGGTACTCCTGGCAGCCGTGGCGACGCGCCGCGACGTTGTGCTCGGCTTCTCCGTGACGAATGAAGTGTACAACCTTCACGTCGGCCATGTTCATACTTCGTCCGTAGGTGGCGCCGGAAGATGAAGTGGTCCTTGCGGGGAGTGTGCAGGTTGACATTGCAGTAGATTCGTCGCTGTCTTGTGTGGGAGGTTTTGTGTGAAAGAGTGTCTTTGTTCTGTTCTGGCTTTGCGTTTTGTAAGCGAGCCCGGAGTTGCTTGGTCCGGCTACCTCGCCCGCCGTCGGGCAAGCTCACACTCCGCTGCCCAAAGGCACGGGACACTATCCCCAAGATCAAGCAACACCCCACAAGTCTTGGGACTATCACGCAACTAGTATTGACTAAATCCCCAGCTGGTGTACCCTCGAAACTTGGCCATGCATTGTTCTGATTCTTCACCTTGGCGCCTGTCGGGCGCAGAAGCAGGTGCCACAAGTGGAAAGAATTTGCAGAATAATTCACATTCCGACGGTCGGAGATGTGTCGCCAACGTGTCTCACCGAAAGGCCTCTTGGGATCGCGTGCCTAAACTGTTGGGCGTTCTTCGCTCCGGGGACACGGAAAAAGTGTGCCACCCCTGAGTAACAAGGTCCTCACGAGGAGGGCCTTGTGTCCGGAAAGAATGCCACATGCCGGAGACTGTTCTCCAGCCAACAACAGCCAAAGCCCAGTTGCACCATCACACTTAGCACGAACCGGAAGCATGCGCTTCGAGTTCTGTCATGCGTTGTAAGGTCTTAACTCTCCTGCACTTGCTCCCTGGAGTCCGGAGCTTCAGCAAACCCCTCACGAGGGCCAGGACTTAAATTTCTGGCTCTCTTGCCAGGTTCAGTTCTTCGATATTCTTGCCCTTGGCATAACACTTACCACACCAGCACAAGAACATCACACCCGTGTCTGAACATGCACGCCCGCACTACCACAACGACCACGACCTGCTCCATGCACAACAATGGCGTGCGGCGCCCAGTTCAGAAGTACCAGGTGGCCATCATCGGATCCGGGAACTGGTTCGTTGTTGGTTGCCTTCTCTTTAGATTGGTTTCCGCGGAGCCTAATTCACTGCTCGTCGCACTGTACAGGGGTAGCGCTATAGCCAAGGTGGCCGGCGAGAATGTGGCCCAGCAACCCGAACTCTTCGAGCCTCAAGTTAAAATGTACATAATCAAATGGCATCATGGATTACCTTCTCCTCTCCGACCATCATCACGCCCTAACTCACTTCGTCTCTCCGTGCAGGTGGATGCAAAATCGAGACTTGGCGGACATCGTCAACACCCGGCACGAGAACACCAAGTACCTGCCAGGCATAAAGCTGCCCACCAACGTGATTGCCGTGCCCGACCTGCTGGCGACGGTGAAAGACGCGCACCTGCTTGTTTTTGTAGTCCCCCACCAGGTAACGTTACCTCACTGCCCGCCGGCAGGTGATTTTTGTCCCTCTGGGCGTTTTTAATTCTGTCGTGCATGCGCGCTATAGTACGTGGAAGAGACGTGCAGGAAGCTCCGGGGCCACCTCCGACCCGACGCCAAGGCTGTATCGCTCATCAAAGGCATGTCCGTGGAGGACGGCGAACCGCAACTCATCTCCGAGCTCATCAATGGCAAGTTATCTCCCTTCTCCCCAAAAACCCAACCCACGCCAGGGGGAAGTGAGCTCATGTTCCAGTTCTGCCCCTCACAATCCAGGCCTGCTTGACATCGACGTGAGCGTCCTCTGCGGAGCCAACATTGCGAGCGAAGTCGCCAAAGGCGGGTTCAGTGAGGCCACCATCGGTACGTCCCACTACTACTAGTGCTTGGATTCTGCTATTGAGAAGTGCCCTAGTTGGCTCATGCCCACATCACTTATCTTGATCACCACCAACGCAGGGTACAAGGACAGACAGGCGGGAGAAGTTTGGCGGAAGCTGTTCCACAACCCGACCTTCCGAGTACGGTAACCCTTGTTCTATCTCGCCCTTAGAGGGCACGAGCTGACCCACCTCCCTCCCAGATCAACACGGTGGACGACGTTGCGGGAGTTGAAGTGTGCGGCGCTCTCAAAAACGTGGTGGCGCTGGGTGCTGGTTTCTGCGACGGCCTGGGGTATGTAGATCTTCGCCGCGCTGGGTATTATGGTAGACCTGGATTAACGTGGCCTCTCTCACCTTCAGATTGTCCTCGAACACGAAGGCAGCTGTGATTCGATGCGGCCTGGCTGAGATGCGAAAGTTTGCCCAGACCTTCTTCAGCGACATCAACATGCAGACCTTCTTCGAAAGGTACGGCCAGACCCACATGCGCACCGGCTCTGTCTTGTTGTCCTCACACGGATATCTTCTTTCACACAGCTGCGGCGTGGCTGATCTGATCGTCACCTGCTTCAGCGGGAGGAACCGTAAGGTGTCAGAGGCCTTCGTGGTCACAAAGAAGGTTCGCTGCGATTCCCCCATTCCTCGCCTCAGCTTTCTCCCCTTGGGTGTGAACTCAATGTGCGGTTTTCCATCGCTCAGAGCTTCGAGGCGCTCGAGAAGGACATCCTCAACGGACAAAAGCTGCAGGGCACCCTCACAGGTATGTGCTGGTTCGCGACCTACCTACCTACCTGCTTACGCATGGCCCACCTCTGGGGCTGCCTTTTCCTCTCCTTTCTTCCTTTCTTTTTCTTTCGCTCACCCGCGGTCGATGCAGCTCAAGAAGCCCACGAGGTCCTGGAGAAGAAGGGACTCACCGACGAGTACGAATCCCCCTCTTCCTTCGCACGGTGCGATGCGTCGGCTCACCAGTCTGGTCCCTCTCTCTCTATACGCGTGCAGGTTCCCGCTGTTCCGGACCATCTACCAGATCGCGTTCGAAGGCTTGGCGCCCTCACACATCACCGCCTTCTGAGTTACCTCAAGTTCCAAAAAGAAAAATCAATAAATGCCGAATGCACAACACTCATCACGCACCGTGGAGCAAGGGACGACGCAGAGAACGAGGGGTTATCGCCCACGACGCATAACACAACAACACACGCGATTGCGCCACACCACGCACATCCCCTTGCCAAGCTCGTACATCAAGACCGATTGGCATTGTTGTTGTTGTTCTTCTCGCGTATACATCTCTTCTTCTTTGTTTCTTTGCTGGTTCTTGGCACCTCACTCCGGATGCACGCCCTTGGCTGCCAGCTCCGCCTTGACTGCACGGCACACACGACACAATGACACGACACGCGCCGGTGAGCGGCGGCAGGAGGGCCGATTGGGGAGGAGGGCACACGCACCTCGTTCGAAGTAGGTGGGGTCGGGGTAGCCGAAGCTGGTGGCGCCGCCCGAGGTGCAGGTCTTCTGGTGTACGCCGCCCCACACCACCTGGTTGTCCTCCCCGGTCGTGACCGATCGACCGACCGTGAACAGCAGCCGTCGCTCCCACGCGATCTTGAACAGCTTGAGGATCTCCTGGCCCTCCTTGTTGTCCGGCAAATAGGCCGTTCTGTTGTTGGACGCACATCCACCGATACACCGACGTCAGCTCCGTGAGACCCAGCAGCAGCAGCAGCAGCAGCAGTGGTGGTGGTGGTATGAGGCCACGTGTGTGCGACGGTGCGTACCGGGAGGTGCCGCCGTAACTCATGCCCGGGTTGGGGTGCTCCGGACCCTGTATGCCACTGTGTGTGTCGTGGGCCGTGCACGAATTAGATTGTGCACTCACAAGTGTGTGTGTGTGTGCGTGCGTGCGTGTGTGTGGTGCGTGCGTGTGTGTGGCGTACGCACCTGCTGAAGTAGTAATCGATTTGGATTGTGCCGCAGTCCTCGAATCCGCTCAGGCTCTGCAGCCGCCGACAGGCGCGGTTTAGAGGTGGTGTGCATTGCTACACGCACGCACGCACGCACGCACGCACACGGTGGGGGGGGAGAGAGAGGTACCGGCCCGGAAGTGGAGACGTTCATGGTGCCCTCGGGCATGGTGCCGATACGTACGCCGTAGACCACGTTGCAGATGGGGCACTGCAGGAACCCGGACCTGCATATCACGACACGCACACGCGGCCGTCAGCCGCTGCACGCCCTGGCATGCGAAAGGGGCGGATGGGTGGGTGCTGCGCGCAAGCATACTTGAAGCAGTGCACGATGCAATCCCGGTGGAAGTAGTGGCCCTGGCACTGGGACAGGCGCACGATGACTGGATTGGCCAGGAGCGGGGGTGAGAAGCTGCGGGCTCCGCGAGAAAACAAGAAAGAGAGAGAGAGAGAGAAGAGAGAGCCGCACCATCGTCGGCCTCGTCCTCGATGGCCTTCTCCTTGGGCTGCTTCTTGCTCTTCTTCTTCTTCTTGGACGCGTCCTTCTTCTTACCGTCGGCTTCGGCCTCCTTGCCCTTTCCCTCCTCCTCTTCCTCCTCCTCCTTCCCCTCCTCCTCCTCCTGTTCGAACTCGCAGAGGCACACGGGGCAGGTCTCCTCGGGGATGAGCTTGTCCGTCACGCGCGCCCACCGGGTCAGCTTGCCCACCTCCCGCAGCTTGCCCTTGCCCACGCCCGAGAAGGCCTTCTCCTTCTCCTTCCCGCTGCTCTTTTCCTCGTCGCCGTCGTCGCCGCCGCCCTTGGCAGCGGCCTTGGCGATGGCCTGGGCGATGGCCGGGTAGTGCAATGGGTCGATGGCCGGCGTGCGCCGCACGCGCACCACCTCGTGCGCCGACTGCTGCTTGGTCTGCGTGAGACCCACAAAGTCCACCATGTACCCGCCCGGCACTGTACCCCCGCCCCCGCCATTAGTCACACCACCATCAGCCCCGACCACGCGTGCTAATCCAGGCATGTGCGTCGTGCGTGTGCGCGTACCGGCAAAGGAACCGTGGTTGAGGACCACGTTGGCCCGTCCGTTCGTCAGCGATCCTGAAGTCGCCACACCGCCACGCCGGAGTGAGTGGGAGTGAGGGAGGAGTGAGTGGGAGTGAGTGAGGGAGGGAGTGAGTGGGCGCAACAGGAGCACGTGGAAGAGGTGGTACGCGCGGGTTTAGGAAGAAGGCTAGACACATAGATGATGGTGTGTGTGTGTGTGTGTGTGTGTGTGTGTGTGTGTGTGTGTGTGTGTGTGGAGAGAGAGAGAGAGAGAGAGAAGGAGTGTGGCGGGGAGGGTATACCCTCGAGGAGACGCGTGGTGAGTTTATCGTAGGCCTCCCATTCCCCGTCCTCCTTCTCGAACTCCCACACGGGTCCTGCACGTGCGCCATCATCGTCATCGTCATCATCACCCATACAACAGTTGAATCAGTAAAGTAAATGAATGCCATGACATCGAGCTTGAAACGGACAACATGCACGTGCGCACACGTCTGCGGCACATGAACACACGACACACGCGGAAGAGAGAAGGAAGGGGCACCAGCAGCGGCAGCGGCAGCGGCGGTGCCGTCGGCAGAGGTAGAAGTGGGTGTGTAGGAAGAGGAGGAGCCAGAGGAGCCCGAGCTCCCCGAGAGGGAGGTGGTGGTGGCGGTGGCGGTGGCGGTGGCGGCGCGTGGCAAAGGCGGGGTTGCGGCGGATGGCGCGGGAGTAGGTGGTGGTGGTGTTGGTCTGCTGGAGGCCCGCCAGATCGACGGCGTACTGGTGGCTGCCGTGGATGAGGGTCACCGCGGTCTGGCCCGCCGCGAAGGCGGCCTCGAGGGTGGCCGTGGCCGCGGCGTCGTAGGCGCGGAACACCTGCGAGTCGTCGGCCCACTCCCACAGCGCAGTCGCGGGCGAGGCCGACGAGGCGTCGGGGGCCGGTGGTGTGGTGGTCGATACCAATACATCGGTCGTGTAGGACGACGAGGTGTGGGGCCTGCGCTTCGAGCCCTTGGCCCCCATCTGTTGTACATATACAGATGGACGAAGTAGGAGAAGGCGAAGTGTGAGCTCTCCACACGAGTTAAAAGGGGTGAAAATCACCAAAAAAAAAAACAGCACAATATTAACATTGCAATATATCAATAATATATAAGACCTTTCTCTTGTGTCTGTTGTTGCTCATCGTTGAAAGAGGGAAGAGATTAGAAGATGATTTTAAAAACCGCTTTACCTGCTGATGATTGATTTTAATAGGAGGAGCGCCAAAAGAGGTGAATGGGGAACACTGAAGCTGCACGGGAAGAAAGTGTGGCGCCCGGTCGCACGGCCAACGTTGCCGTTGCCAAGCCGTGGGCGACAAGAAGTTTATTTGCTGAATAAAATTCGTCCCAGATAATCTTTTATTATTTCTTTTACGCCCTTTTCCTACCACACCTCTGGAGCAGGGGTGCGTGATCGACTGACCACCTGCAATGATGCACACACACAGAATCTGTCAGCAACTACTGCACGGACAAGCAGAAGCGGTCGGGCATGAACTGGATTGAGGGACGCGGCAAGGGACATGCGGTCGGATGTGCGAGGCCATCACCAAGGGCAAGACCACGCGATGCGGGCGTCGCTCACACAGAAGAACCTCATCGGCTCGGCCATGGCCATGAAGTTACGGCGAAGCAGATAGATGTTCCTCTCGATGCTGCGCAATCGCCAGCCCGGGATTGTCGTTTGTCGCGGCGATGCGGACGGCGGTTGCAGTGCGAGGGCATGGGCATGGGCGAAGTCGTTTGGCCGGCTGCCGCTTCTTCTTGCCGCCCTTGCTTTCAGACTATCAAAAACTTGCATGTTTGACTTTTGGAGAATGCTGTGTGGTGAAACAACCCAAGACAGCACCACCTGAAAAGTTGTGGCCACCAATGGCGTTCAGCCAAAGTGAGTTCACACTAGCAACACACCTGGCACGTGCATACCCAGCGAATCAGCAAGATGGTGACAGTGTTTACGCCAGCTTAACAGCGGCGCCCGCAGTGCCCGTAATGGCCTCTACAAACCTGGACCGCGGCCAACAGGGCGCTGAGGGGTCACGTCTGTGCTCGGGACCAGCGAAGTGTATCCTATCCCGTCCCCACCCAGTAGTGTAAGCCCTGTCTTCTTCCTCGCGGATGCCTGTCTCCGTCGTCTCCGCGGCTGCGTGGTTGGTGGCTCATCGAGCCTGCGAATTCTCGGTCGGTTTTGTGGGTTACTTTGGCTCGAATCGTCAGCTTAGTAAGAGATTCTGATCAACAAAACTGGCCATTCGATGATTGCCTTGTCTTTGTCCACTTGGTGATCGAAAACTGGTTTATGGTGCAGGGGAGATTGGGGGGGGGGGGATTTAAAGCCCGCGTAGACCGGGCCGGGGAGAGGTTCGGGGATGAGCGGCTTGGTGTCGCCCGAGGCTGAGGCGGCGGCCGGCGGCGGCGCCGGGTAGTCGCGTTGGCGCTGGTGACGGCGGTATGCCTTCTTGATCCGCTTCCACAGGGGTTTGCGATAGCCGATGGCCACCCAGGCGACCAGGATCAGCACCATGAGCGTGCCGGCGCCGATGCCGATCACCACGTAAAAGATGACGCTCGGGCGGCACGACGACGAGCCCGAGTCGGCGCTGAACAGCGGCTGGCACGACGACGGCGACGCCACGCCGGCCTCGCAGAACTTGTCCGACGGACACTCGGTCGGCTCGACGGAACCCGCCGGGCAGTAGGAGCCCGACGGACACTCGCGGCAGCCGCTCTGGGCCTGGAGGTCATTGTAGGTGCCGGCCGAACAGGCCAGACAGCGCATGCTCTGGCGCTCGGAGTAGGAGCCAGCCGGGCACGGCGCACAGGTGCCGGCGACGGACGGGTTGTAGTAGCCCGCCGTGCACGCCACGCAGTGGGTGTTGTCGGGCGACGACGTCTGGCCGGCGCGGCACGAGAGGCACTTGATGGCCGGCGGCACCGCCACCTTGCCTTCGGGGCACCGGATGCAGACACTCGCGTTCTCCTGGTCGTTCACCATACCTGCACACAACAAAACACGACACAACACGACACACGTGGCGCCAGACAATCGCGAACTGTGAGTCCCCCGAGTTCACGAGCTTCGCCGCGCGGAAACAGCGCGGTTGCGGCGCCACACCGGGCACTACCGCGAGGACCTTGGGGGCTCATACCGGCGGGGCAGGGCAAACACCAGGTGACGTTGACACAATAGCCAGCGCCGCACTCCAGCGGAGCGACACTGCAGTTCTTGTTTCCTGCAACACGCCACACGCACGATACCACACGCCACACGGTCAGTGGAACCGCAAAAAGGAGGAAGCCACGGTTGTGGCAACAACACGAACTCCCCCCCCCCGACACGCGCTCTCATAAACAACATCTCGCGGGGTCCGATATAATCGAGCAAAGGAAAAAGGTGAATTGAGGGTTGGTTGCGCACCAGGAGGGGAATAGGTGGCGGGGGGACAGGGAAGGCACTCCTCTTGTTGGCTTTGAAAGATGGGCGGTCGCGCGAGAGTGAGGGAAGGCGAGAGGCAGATGGAGAGGGAGATGAGGATGCACAACGACGAGAGACAGAACGGAGAGGAAGAAGAGGAGGGGGAAATGTCAAAGAAGGAGCAGGCGAAGGAAGCCCCATTCCCAGCCCGTCGTGGCGGTCGTCCGGTAGGCCTTGTGTCCATCATCACACGAGCATTCGTGTGGCGGCCTCTCTGTCCGCAGCCAGTTCAAAATTGTGCGTCTAACTTTTCCAGTTTGCGCGTGGATGTTTGGTCAAAAGAGAAATGGGTGATTTCTCTTTGTCGACGTATAATACTTCCTACCGCCTTATGTGTCGACGGCTTACTTGTTGCGGGTGCGGTTGAGGCGGGCAGGGCCGCGGCCGGGTCCCCTGGGTCGGGCAAAGGCCTTCTGGCCGTCTTCGGCGGTCGGGTGGAGGGCCTCGCGGATGGCCTCCTCCGTCACGTCCTCCAGCTCGCTGGCCTCGAGCTTGCCCGCCTTCTCGAACGTCACTCCGGCGTCCTCCGCCGCGCCGGCCACGACCGACTACAGGACAACACACACACGTGCGCAGGGTCAGAAGATGATGCATCGCGATCCATCTCGCGATCCATCTCGCGATGAACGAGTTGAGACACACAACGCACGACACGCATACGACACGACGCCACGGGAGGATTGAAAACCTTGACGGTCGAGTAGAGCATCTTGGCCTTGATGGGAGCCGTCTCAGGGCACCAGTAGATGAACACTGCGCACATCATCGACCAACCCAACAACAATTAGAATAGATGTGAAGTGAGCTCGTGAAGAAGGACGAGTCCCAGAGCCAACACACGGCAAAAACAATCATGATAAATAACAAATAAATAAATAAATAAATAGGCCGTTACCGTTGGATTCAAGACGGACGGGTCCGGCGCCACCGTTGTGCGTGTGGGACCACCTGAAGAACACGAAACGAGGCTCGTTGCTGGGGAGGCGGCTGGCGATCTCCGACGCGGACAGCTGGCGCGCCTCGACGAGCTCCACGGTCTCCTTGACCGTGTCGACGCTCTGTGTGCGTGCGCGCGTGTGCCGTGAGTAGGCGATCTGTGATTGGGGGGGGGGTCACGGAGCGTACGATCTGAGCGTAGTTTTGCGCGGGGGTGAGGTTGCGGAGGGCATTCTGTGCGGCGACCGAGAGCGGGAACTTGACAGAGTGGACATACTCCCTGGTGTGACCGGGATCGATCTCGGCACCGGCCTGCCCAGATGTACAGACACCGCCGCCGCCGCCGCCGCCGCCGTCCACGACCACGACCACGATGCGCGCGCCATCAGTACTTCAAGTATGCACGCATGGATGGTGCAGGGAAGGTGGTGGATGGTGGGCGGTGGTGCCGCGCGTACCATGCTGGACCTCTGCACCTCGTCGGCGGTGAGGGGCGCGGTGCCCTGCGGCTTCTTCAGGCTCTCCTGGAAGGCCGCCCAGGTGAAATCCTCCTGCACGCGACATTTGGATGAGCCAACGCACGCGCACGAGCGGCGAATAACGAGTGGTGTGGCGCGTACGGGAGCGGAGCCATAGAAGTCGTAGGCGAAGTAGTTCTTGCCCAGCTGTCGCTTGAGGTAGTCCCTGCAGCCAGTCGCCGGCTGAAGGTCAACACACGTGCTCTCGCCCGAACGCACGCACACAACAACGAAACAACACTTCCGCTTGGGTGGGGGGGGGGATTGACGAATAGGGCGCCTCCCCTGTGTACCGGGTGGAGGCGTAGAGCATGCGTTGCTTGACGGGGGAGCCGTCCGGCACGTAGGACAGGAGCATCCACTCGTGGCTGCCCGCCGACGCGTCGGTGGAGTCCAGCCGGTACAGCACGAACGCCGCCGTGTGCCTCTCGAAGTTGGGCACCACCTTGGCAAAATCTATTGTTTTAAAAAAATCGAAATGAAAACAACAAAGGAGGCGAAGTAGCGAGGGAACATTCATGAACAACCACAGACAGGCCGTGTTAACCGATCGAGACGAATCGCGAGAGCTGGAGAGGTGGAGAAGGAGGCACCATGTTCGGCATCGGCGATCACGGGCTGGGTGGCTACAGGCACGAGGTTCTCTAGACAACACCAAAAAAAAACGGATAAGAAGGAATTGGAAGTGAATTAGAGGCAAGGTATTGTACCGTCCTCAATGGAGACCTTAATAAATCGGACGTTGCCGCTGGCGCGAGCATCGCCGAACGCCTTCTGCAGCTGATCAGACACTGCATGGGGACGCCACCTCGCGTAAGAAACCATCAAAGCCGTGGGATGGCATAGCCAGAAGTACCGGGAATGTTGCTCGAGTGGGTCATCTTGGTTGTTGCGGTTTCTGCTCTTGTGTCTGATTGTGCTATTAAATAAACTGTTTCACATTCCCCGCGAACTATTTGTGGTATTTGCCCAGCCCACAGGCGAAAGCGCCATCTCGTGACGCGCAGACCAAAAATTGGAGTTGAAGATGGCGCACGAGCACGATCACCACACAGCGAAGGACTCCAAGAAGGACGTGGAGATTCCGGATCTCTTCGGCATCGACGCTCTTGACATTCACGGCGGGGAGCCGTGCCTGGTGCAGGGCGCCAAGATGGCGGCTACGTCATTCATCGCCGGTTCGTTCTTCGGCGGCGTGCTGGTCTACTGGAAGGACGTGGGTGTGGTGCAGAAGCGGGGTAGATTCGCCGCCCTTCAGGGCACCCTCAAGAGCATTGGCAGCTACGGCGCATTCTTCGCCCTCGTTGGCGCCACCTATGGCACCGCCTTCTGCGCCCTCCAGCACTCCCGCACCAAGAACGACCCCTTCAACACCGTCCTCGCCTCTTGCGCCGCTGGTGGCGTCATCGGCGCTCGCGGTACCCCCCCCCTCTCCTTTTCAACCATCCCATTGTTTCGAATCGTCTCTTTCTTCGCCCCCAAATGAACAACAATTTTTTAATTTTTTTAATATTTTAAAAATACTCTATTATCTCTCTCCACCCCGTCGCTCCCGTTATTTCTTCTTTTAGGGTGGGTAAATTGCTCGTGTTTGTGTTTGTGGGCGTTGCTCACGTTGTGCTCCCACAGTGAACGGTACCGTGTTTGGCTCCGTGCTGGGCTGTGCCGTGACTGGCGGTCTGGCGGCGATGGGCGAGTTCTTCGACTGGACCCTCTCTCCCAACTCCGCGAAGCTCTTCGCCCTCCGGGAGCAAAAGCACCAGCGTCTTCTCCGCACTTCCCCCGGTGTCGGTTCCGACGCTGCCTCCAGCGACAGTGATGCCCAGTAAATCCTTCGCTTCCCCCCCCCCGCTTCGTGCTCACCTCTCTTGCGGACCGTCGGCTGGCGCTGACCACAAGCAACATGTTGTTATGTTGTTTTTGCTATTTTTCTGTTTTTTGGCGTCCGCCACGGTTGACGGGAAGGTAGGCCAGAGATTGCCGATTGCAGATGGCGCGCCCGTCAGGAGGAGACTTTATCCCAGCCCGACTCCCGCCTGCGGCCGCCTCGGTCGTGACGGTGGTGGTCGTCCCTCCTCTCTACGCCTCGGTGGTCGTCGTGGTGGTGTCCCCGCTGGTCGTCCCGCCAAGGCTTGCGCGGCGGAGGCCCTCCGTATTCGCCTCCCCTGCCGCCGCTACCGTCATCATCGCTTCCGTCGAAGCGGCGCCGTTTCGGTGGTGGCGCCCCCTCGTTCCACGAGGATCCCCCAGGACCCGGCCGGAAGCCGCCTTGGCCGAAATCCCCCGCGCCGCCGGCGGCGGCAAAAGGCGGGAATGGACCCGGCTGCTGGTGCCCCATCATGGCCTGCTGGGGAAGCGGGTACCCGCCGGAGTCCGCTTGTTGGTAGCTACCCGCGGGCGGGCCGCCACCGCCCCAATGCGGAGCCGCCGAGGCTAGTGAGCCGGGCGCGGGGTACGGACCGCCGCCTCCACGCCCACGTCCACCACTGAACTGAGGAGGTCCGCCAGCGTGCTGGCCATCTTGCTGCTGGTGGCGCATGGCTTCCTCCACCGTGACCAAGGTCTCGCCAGTCTCCATGTTGAAGTTCTCCTTTGCTCCGATCGGATTGGCGCCGCGAGCCCACCCGACCTGCAGCGCCAACAAATGGTATTTGATAACATACATATTAATATGTTAAAAAAAAAACCTTGGCAGGGAACGAGCATTGGCCTCTTCGCCAATGGACCGATTTGTTGGAGGGGTTTGGGGGGGGAATGTATGCCTTGACGAGATTGCCGCCGACCATGACCTGTCCGGCGTCGCCCTGCGCCTTGACGCGTTCGGCGTCGGGACGATGGGCGAAGGTGACAAAAGCGACATTCTTGTCCTCCATCACCTTCAGCCGCATGATCCTGCCGTAGGCGGCGAAATGCGCCCGCAGCACCTCGTGCGTGGTGCCCGGCGGGAGGCCCCCCAGGTAGCACGTCGTCGTGGGAACTGAGCACAGCCGCGCGCGCGCGCAAGCTCAGAAGAGAGCCCAGCAAATGGGATCGGACCTCCAACAGCAATTTATAACGGAAAAATTTTGTTGCTGCTGGCGCTCGTGGCTTGTAATGGGGGGGGAGAGATATTCAAGTACGTACCCTTGGTGAAACCGGAGGCGACGGGGTCAGGGCGGGCAGGCGGACTGGAGAAGGAAGAGGGGGTGAATGGATCGTAGGCCGCACTCTCTGTCGCTGCCGCTGCCGGCCGGTGAGAATGGGCGGCGGCGTAGGCTGGCGGCCCGCCAGGCGCTGCAACATCGCTGCCATAGAAGGAGGCGAGGGCAGCGGCCAACTGCTCCGGGGTTTGTTGTTGTTGTGGTGGTGGTTGTGGTTGGCCCATGTGCGATGGAGGAGCCACATTTGCATTCCCTGTGTGGCACACCCACAAACGACAGACGAACGAACGCCAACGCGCACGGGAACCGTGGGAAGTGGAGGCGGATGAGATGAGATGAGATTGGCCAAACAAGTTCCAATGACACCAAAGAAAAGAAAGAAAAAGAGGCGTGGCGGGTGTCTTTACGTAGTGGTGGCCCTGCCGCCCACTGCTGCTGCGGCTGCGGCTGCGGCTGCGGTAGTGAAGATGGCGGCGCCTGCGGTTGCAGTCGCTGCGACGTCGCCGCCTCTTGGGCGAGTCGTTCCTCGTGCTCCTGGCGAAGTTTTCGCTGTTCTTCGAGGCGTGTGTCGTCATCGTCATCGTCGCCATAGTCAAAGTAGAGTGGATTGTGGCCAGCCCTGAAAGAGGTATCGGATTGGGGAGAATGGGCGGGAAAAAAAAGGGGGGGGGAAGGTTAATGGAGTGGTAGGGGGGGTACAAAGGGGCGCCCCGGGTGGTAGTGGTGGTACGTGCCTCGGTTCTTCGGCACCTTGCCAGGCGCCTGCTGGCGCGCGTTGGGCGAGCAGCGAGGCGGGTAGCTGCGTGGCCGCAGCAGTGGCGGATGGACCAACTGCCGGTGATGGGTGCGGCAAAGAGGGCGGCTGTTCGGCGACGGCAGTGGCGGTAAGGCGCGGGTCCATTCGCTGACTGAAAGAGGGCACCGCCACACTGGAGGGCATAAATGAGGTGGGAGTGGAGCCCAAGAAGGCCCCGGTGGCGGTCGACTGTGCGGCGGCAGGCAAGAGGCCGGCCATCTGGGCTCCGAGCATGCTGAGGAGGTGGCCGTTGCCCAGGGCAGTGGAGAGCTCGGGCGGCGAGGTAGCCGTCGCAGCGGCGGGAGAAGGAGAAAAAGCAGCGCCCAAGCGTGGGTCGACAGGTGGTCGCAACGCCTGGGGCTGGACTTGGGCAGCGAGTCGAGGGTCGGTCGGTGCCGACACGGGAGCAAGCGTGGGCGTGAAGGACTGGGAAGAGGCGGAGGCGGAAGAGGATGGCGCGGAAAAGCCGAAGGCATTCTCCTGGATCTGTTGCAGCACGTTGGGCTGCGAACTTGGGCGCTCCACTGGCACGCACACGGGGATGTGATGATGAGGAGTGGCCGACATCAACACAAAAAAGACAGAACTAACACCGCGACAGGACGTACGCGTACCGGATGGCGAGGGGCTCAGAGAGGGCGGCGAGGGAGACTTGGCCTCGCTCTCCATCGGTGGTGGAGTGTCCGAGGGGAGATTGTCCACCTCCGCTGTTGGTGGGCCGCACGCAAGGTTGGTTAGTTGGCTGGTCAGCACACGAGGCGGCCCTCGAATACCTCGCTAAGCGAGCATCCGCGGCAGCAGGCTGGCCGTGGAGCAGGAAGTTGGTGGTGGGGGGGGGGCAGGGAGGCGTACGCAGATCCGGGGGCACGCCAGTTCTGCGTATGGACACCATGACCAACGCATCGATCACGCTCGGAGGGAACACCTGTTTTCATGGAAGAGGACGGCGGAGGGGGGACGTCTTCAGTCAGGGACCAAGATCTTCCAAGAAGCACCACCACCGCTGTATCGATCATCCCAAAATATATACATAAATAAATAAATAAACTTCTGGCCAGGAAGCCAAGTGGCGAGCAGGCGCACAACCAACAGACGAAGTAGCAGCCATCACAAAACACGAAGGAAGAATCGACAGCCACAACAAACGGGGAAAGGGATTTATTGTTAACCTTGTTCTTGTGCCACAGCGCGATGACCCGACGTGCCGCCTTCTGCTCACGCCCGACGCAAAACATAGCCAAAAGAGTACGCACGAGTATGCGAACACGCAACGTCAGCAAGCACATCACCACCACGAACGGATGCACACTAGAAGCACCGCATAGGCGGAAAGAACCTGGTCCTTCTCAGAGCACTGAAGGATGTAGTCCAGGGAACGCTCGAGGTTGGCTGTAAAGCGGCCGACGTACACGTCCTTCGACCCGAACTGCCTGCTCGAGTTTGATGCTCAGCCAGGAATGGTAAAGTGGAGAAGTTTTCTTTCTCGTACCTTATGGAGCCCCTGACGATGGCATCTATGATATACAGGGCCGTCAGGCGATGTTCGGGCTTGGCTTTCTTGATGAATTTCTCTACTTCATTGACCACGTTCTTGTAGTGTTGCTGGATGAAACGAAACAGTTGGCAAAGCACGACTACACAAATGCATGTAAAGAGCGCACCTTGTATATTTTTACAGCAACCTTTGCAATTCCATGAATCTGCGAGAATTGGGTTGAGATCTGGTCAGCAGATGACTTGTGATTCATATCACCCTCCTTGCGGCAAATATATACCTTGTTGGCGCTGAGCGGGGGCTTGTGATTCTGGACGGAGCGCAGCTCGTCCGTGAATTGCTCCATGCACTTCGCGATGTGATTGGCTTGTGCTGGGCAGGAACGACCGTTTGCTTGCCGAAAAAAAGAAATCCAGCCTTTTCACCACTTTTTCTCCCTATTTTATGTCGACCCCCACGCTCATACACACTTGTCCAAGATGACGGCAACAAGGTCGCCTTTTTCAGGGAGGCCAGCGGCCGAGATGCCGTGCTCGCTCAACACCTGGACCCAAGGGAGAAGTGTGTGTGTGTGTGTGTGTGTGTGTGTGCGTGCGTGCGTGCGTGTGTGTGTAAGAGAGAGAGATGGAACAAACACCCCACGGGTGAAAACAGGACAACATCATTGCAGGCGCATGTACCTGCTTGAGGTCACGGATCGGCATGCGCATCAGCTCGTCCCTGTTCTTGCCCTTGACGTCAATCTTCTTCTGCGCCTTCATGTCTGGTGTGGCGGAGAAGAGCGTATGTGAGCATTCGCGGGGAGCTGAGGACCCACCCGGGGAGTGGTGGGTGAATGCCTACCGTTGACTGCTTGCTGAATGGCCGTCTCGAAGGAGGGCTCTGCAGGGTGGCCGTGCCAGCGCACTTTCATGTTGTGATCCACCAGGAACGCATGAGGGATACCCTATGCGCACGCATGCAAATGGGAGGTCAGGAATATATCGCGCTTGAGGTGAATGTGCAGAGGACGGGCTTCTTGCGAGGGCAGCATCCGCACCCCGACGGAGTAGCGGTCCATGTAGGCCTGGGCAGAGCCCGCGTCATCAAGGGCCACGCGATAGTCCATCTTGTCTCCCATGCTCGTCACGAACGGGCGCACCTTCTGCTGACGGGTCACACACAACACAGCTTAGGTCCGAACGCAGCACCTCATGGCGCACGAGCACTGTACCGCAGCAGTCTCGGAAGTGATGCCAATGAAGATGACCCCGTCCTTTCCGAATCTATGCTGCAGCTCGGTGAGATGCGGGATCGTGCTGCGGCACGGCGGACACCTGGTGCCACACCCCTCACCCCCCAAGGGGTGAAGGTTCAGTGAGAGGCCGCGGGAGACCTGCAGAAGCCTCTACCCCCCCCGGGGGGGGTATTACCATGTGGCCCAGAACTCGAGCACAAAGATCTTGCCGCGCTCGAGGGCCACTGGCTCGCCCTTGATGAAAGTCATGCCCGTGAGGGGCGTGGCGTCCTCCATCTGGTGTGTTGTTGTTTCGTTTTTACGATCTCCTCGCAGTAATAATGAGAAGACACCCGCGACGTGCCTCCTTACGTGGGCGACGCCACCACGACCGGCCTCCGCGTCCACTCCTGGCAAGCGAGCGAGCGAGAGAGAGAGAGAGAGAGATGGAAAGAAGCAGGGCATGCACGATCAGCAAGGTGCCTACAGAGACGTACGGTCACAACAGGCGCCGTGCTGGGGCAACCCACCCGCCACACCAAGATCGTGGCGGGCGGTGTGGGCGGAGGGGGTGGTGTACCTTGTCGGCGAGGAAGCCGGGGTCGCGCGTGGTGTCCTTGTACCACTTGGCGGCGGCGGCGGCCTTCTTGAGGCAGTAGAACCAGTCCCGCTGGCTCTCCTCCGAATCGGCCGACACCATGAGCCGCTTGCCCGTTGGCCCTCGCGCCCTACGCCCAACCCCCCGACCCAGAGAGAGTCAGCCGGACGGACGAGCGAGAAGAAGCTGCCTTGAAGGGGTAAGGGGGGGACATCAAAAATATACCCGAAGGAGCGTGGGTCGTGGACGATGGTGGCGATTTCGAGGCAGTACGGGTGGCAGCTGCTCTGGTCCCGCGGCTTCTGGTCCGCTCCGGGGGCAGTCCCCTCGCGCAGGTCCTTCCTGATCTCCTTGAAGGCCGTCAGGTACAGCTCCACAGATCGGATCGTCGTGCCCCGATGCAACCTGCAACGCACGCACACACGCGCACCAGATCGAGCAGGTGGAAATTCACACGCACACGCACCACCGCACACACACGCACACGCGCGCCCGATCGAGCAGGTGAAACACACGACACACGACACACGACACACGAGACCTGGTGTCAGCTGCTGACCCCGGCGAGGTCTCCCGCCCACACCCACGGGAGGTGTGGAAGGGAGGGGGGTAGAGGAGTTCATGGGGGGGGGGTTGCCTGAAGATGTGGTCCGGGTAGGAGCTGTCCTGGGCGGCGTAGCAGAGCAGGAAGTCGTCCTTGAGTAGAAAGAGGCGCCGGCGCCACGTCTTCTTCACCCGCCCCACCAGCTTCATCAGCCAGCCGGCCTGCACGACGAGAGAAGGAAGGGTTGTGTTGAACATAGAACCCTATAAATCAGGCGGAGCGGAAGATGAATGGACCCATGCTGTAGAGTACCTTGGTGTGGGGCGCGGGCACCTGGGCGAAGGCGAGGGAGGGGTAGGCGAGGGCGGCCAGGACGTCCAGGGAAAAGTGCTTCTCGTAGGTCTCGATGAGCTCCTCGAGCCGCTGGTTGTGCCGCTTGAGCCTCGCCAGCTCGTCCACATTCCGCGGGGCCGCGATTGTAGCCGAATGCACCACCACCCCCGACAACCCGCTGCTGGTGCTGGTGCTGGTGCTGGTGGTGCCTTCGTCGCCAGCAGGGTGCGGCGGATCGGTCAGGTCAGACGCGAGGCGGGCGTTGGCTCGCGGGGAGTCCTTCCGTGGCCACAGGCGCGACGACCCCTTCTTGGTGCCGCCGTCCGCAGCACCACCGCCGCCGCTCTCGAGCGAACGCGGGGAGGCGCTCGGGGAAGACGACGAGCGCGGAGAGAGCCGTGGCTGCTCGGCCGAGTGGTGGTCGAGAGAAGAAGAAGAAGAAGACGGAGACGTGGGCGGCGGGGACGAGAGGGAGGAGGGCGACGGGCTGCCACCGCGGGACCGCGGGGAGAGGGGGCTCCCATCGTCGCCGCTGCCGCTGCCGCCGCGCACGGACTTGTCGGGGCTCAAGGAAAAGAGGTGGAGCGGCGGCTTGAAGAACAGCTCCGCGATGCGCGTCTTGCGCCGAGCCGGCTTTTGCACGGCGGGACGCGACTCCTTTGTGTCCGGTGGAGATCGCGACGCTGATCGTCGTGTCGTTGGTCAAGTTCCGAGTTCTTCGATTGGCGGTGGATTTGGGGGGGGGGTGGAGCGCGCGTACAGAGGTCACGGGCGGATTGTTGCTTGGGGAGCGGCGCGGCACTACCAACAGCTGTTGAGGCGGAAGGCGAGGCCCTGTCGAGGGCGTAGGACGAGGGGTCGATGGACGACGTGGACCGGTGGATGCGCCGAACGGGGGGCGTGTTGCGCATCTTGAGGCGCTTCTCTCGGCTCCTCGCCCACTCCTGAATGGTCGCGATCGCCGCCCGGGTGAGATCGCCACCGCAGCTTCGATCGAAGATGGGCAAGGTGCAAGGTGGGTGGAAGGCACCTCTTTCTGCTTGCGCAGCCACACGGCCTTGCGGATCTTCACCTCTCGCTCCTTCTCCTCCTGCGAGAAGGACCCCGCCAGCGGATCGAGGTTGTTCTACACCAGCCACCACCACCACCACACATGCCACCATACATGACACCACCACCACCACCACCACCACCACCACCACCACCACCACCACCACCACCACGACACAACACACCAGTGGCCCATGAGAAACACGCGCGCGCGTCGAGCGCAGTGTAAGGACTTAGGTGCGTACGAGCAGCATCTGCTTTTGGTCGGCCGTGAGGGAGTTGATGACGCAGTGCCGCTCGATGAACTCACTGGCCCGCTCGATGGGCACCCCGAACGACAACATGGTGCAGGCTGATGGCCAATCGGGGGATTGCTCGACCGTCAGCCAGGATCGATGGAGGGGGGAATATCATGATGATGATGATGATGATGATGATGGTGATGGCGGTGATGATGGGGGTGTGAGTACAGTAAGATCCCAGCTGGCCGAAGATGAAGTTCTTCTCCTTCTCGATGATGTCGGCCTGCTCCGCGGAGGTGAAGGCCCGCCAGGGCGTCTCCAGGGCCTCCCGCATCACCTTCTCCCGCTCCTCCATCACCGAATCTGCCCCCCCCCACAACCACCACCACCACCAGCAGCACGTTTGTGTGAGGGCGCCAGAGGTGGGAAGGTGGCAGTGGTGGTGATGGGTGGGTGGGTGGGTGGGTGGTGGTAGCTACCGTACCGTAGTACACCTCCTCCCAGAAGAGCTCCTCCTTCCAGATGTGCACCTTGCCGGAGCGCTGCAGCGTGTTCTGCACAAAGTCCTGCACCTCCGAGACCGACCAGCCGGACCCCACTGTGGTGGTGGTGGTGGTGGTGTGCATGAGAGTAGTCCACCACCACCATCACCACCACCACCACACCGTGATGCGTTATTAGGTACTGCTCCAAATTATGGAAT